CCACAAACACGATACAACGCACAAAACACAACACTTCTGTCAGTTTTTTTATAAACTCCTTTTATATTTATTATGTGATAGTTATACTTGCATAAAATGATAAATATTATAGGTAAGCGCCTAATATTTAATATTAATCAATAAAAAAGAAGTCAGAAGCCACACGCCTGTCTGTACATGTCTTTTGTGTAAAAGTATTTTGGGCGCTCATGTACTTGTGCGCTAGCTGGCGTTCACACCTGTTCTCGCCTACAAGCATTAGAATTAAACAAACGAATTTATTTTTTCATTTTTTTTTAACCTAGAAGGGGTACCACCTCTGGTGCAAGTGTAGGAACCCATAGCCTCGGAGAAGAAATTTTTTTCATTTATATACAAGAAGAGAAGGCTACTCTTGAGTCTAATATTCATCTGATCACTGGTCTCCCATTTGGTCCTCATTGATTTATAAAATAAAAAAAAAAAATAAATAAAATGTTTATTTAGGTAAGGTACATACATACAATAAATTTTTACAAAGATTGGTTGACTTATAGGTAGAGCTAGTACATGCAATGCCTAAAGCCACTATTACGCAAAGCGTTTCGGGCATGATAAACTTAAATGACAAGCTTAATACTAATTGAGGATAATGAGTAGAATGAAAACAAGAAATGAAAACATAGATGAAAAAGCAGCACAAATACAATTATGTCGACAAAGAGCGCTCTTAAAAAAAAAAAAAACAGACATTGGTTGACAATAGAAGGGTAAGGTAGGTTACAGGGAATTTATTAGGTATAGCTTCATTTTTAACTTAAACTGGTTGAGAGAGGTACAGTCTTTAACATGGTTGGGAAGGTCATTCCACATTCTGGGCCCCTTGATTTGTAGAGCATTTCTAGTTTGATTAAGTCGTACTCTAGGAATATCAAAACTGTCTTACTTAAAACTTATCTTAACTTATCTTACTTAAACACTTAATATCAAAACTTATCTTACTATTATTGAATGTCAATAACCGTATTATGCAATTTCATTTTCTTTTATTTCTTTCTTTATTATGCACCCCATACCCATCCCGTGGGCGGTGGTGTAAAGGATTACAGAGGCACATAATCGGTTCAGGAACTGAACCCTCTAGTTCGGTTAGCTAAGCAAATAACAGTGTTTGACGCTAGTTACAAAATTATTAATGTTGTATACACATGTACACACACTCATACATACATGTATGTACGACGACTGGATCACTGTGTACAGGAGGCTGTTATGGCAGCAAACACTCTCCAGGCGACCATATATCTTGGATAAGTCGCTCCACATAATTGTCGCTTGGACCGTCGACTTCCTATGGCGTCACCTCTCACATATTTACGTCTCATTTCGTTATGAAATTAGATTATTTCAGAGTAAAAATAGGTGTGATCATGTTCTACGTGTAGCACCAACATTATAGTAAGTAAATATACCATATTTCTTCATTACCTACGTAATGCTAGGACGATTTGTGTAGTTTTGGGCCGATTTGGGTAATTCTATGGACCCTTCCTGCATCTCTGTTTTGGTATGAATGTTTGTGTGCCTTCATCATATGTTTTGCAAAATTTGGCATACATCTCATTTACTTCCTTGCCTAGCAACATGTCTGTCCAATTAAACTCATTAAAAAAAAAAATTCAGTTCCCCATAGTATCCTCTCATAAAATTGAGTTTATCAACTGTTTTAATGTCCCCATTCTCTTCTAGATTGTATCACAAAGCATATAATCATTGACATTTCCCTTTGATTTTAGGCCTTCTCCTAAACCTTCTCTTTTCTCTATGATTTTCATCTCTTCTGCTGCTCTGTCCAACCTAGATGATATTTCCTTTTCTAAACACCCAAAAATTTGTTATGGATTTAATTTTATCTACAGTGTTTAGTATTAGTTCACTGTTGGTTACCAGTTCTTTAATAATTGGCTTCACTGCCCGAAACGCTTTGCGTAATAGTGGCTTTAGGCATTGTATGTACTAGCTCTATCTATAAATCTATCAATTTATGTAAAATCTCTTGTATGTATGTACCTTACCTGAATAAACATTTATTTATTTATTTATTTTATTTATTATTTAATTGCTTGCCTAGTTTCTGCTTTTTGTTTGTCAATTCTGGTTTTGACTTCCAAACACACTTCCTTAATCGTCTCTTTCTCTTTTACAACTTGCTCATATGTTTTTTATTTCTTTTTTACTTTTCTAGTTCTTTATTAACCTCCTCTATGTGATTTGTCAATGAAGTTTCTCTTTGCATATCCTTGCCTAACTCTATGTTAGCCCTCAGGGTTCCTTGGAGTTGTTCACCATATGAGTCTACTTTCGTGTTTATTTCTTCAAATTCACCACTCTTCACTTTCCATACCTCATGGTCTTTCACTAGTTCCTTGATTTCTTCCTCCTGAATCTTTACCTTGTTCATTAGTGCAGTAATTTTCTTACCTTGCTATAAGTGCAAAACTCACTCCTGAGAGCTCCACTTTCTTCTAATTCAAGTACTTTTTCTTCATACTTCTTTAGCATATCCTCAATTATCTATAACCTGCCAAGAGAACTTCCTTTCATTTTATCTCGTGGTGAGAATCCTTTGAAACAATCATCTGGTGTGTTTACATTCCTCGTGGTGCAGCCATCTGTGTTATTGACGATAGCTTGTTGTGTAGTATAAACTTTTTCAACTTAGAATTTTCACTCACTTTCACTTTCTTGTATTTTGTTTACTTTTAAACTTCCCTCAACCTTTATGTTAATTGAGACACCACTTACAGCCCTCAACCTGTTTCCAATACTTAGGCAATGTTATATTCCTGGAGCCTGCTGCAGTGTGACTCCTGCCTCCTCACACTCCGCTCACCCCTTGGTGTACAGATTCCCGAGCTTCTCGAGCTCCGTCATATCTACATTTGAAACTGTGTATGGAGTCAGCCTCCACCACATCACTTCCTAGTGCATTCCATTTACTAACTACATAGGTAGTTAGTAAATGAGGCAGCTAGCTCAGTTTGCATGAGCCTGGTCCTACGATTTGTGGGCCTGTTGAGTCATCTGTGGAATTGGTCAGTACATCCTCCTCCTGCAGGTAAGGGTCTGTCTGGGAAGGCATCCTCTCGACGTCTCCATTGTCTCGTTTCTAGTTCCTTCTCGAGGTCTCATGGTTGAGCCGTTTTTCTTCCTTTCTTGAGACCGCTTTGTGCCAGGTCCGTCTAATTACCACAGACCCTTACCTGTGCTACAAAAAGGTAGGTGAAGAAAATAAAAGTTGTATTTGTTCATATATATTTAGTATTTATATCTACACAAAATCATTATTTGTATATGTTTAAATTTGCAGAGACCTGTATTGTGTCATTTGCCATGAGCAATATTGAAAATTTAGTGATGTAATAGCCAAATAAGAGGGTAATTGCTGTATTCAGCACTCCATATTTCATGTGAAATCGGATTGGGTCCAAAACATAACAGATTTCGGAGGGTCCACTGTATAAACATTTGTTTCCTTCTTCTGTAGTGCCACACACATATACAGTGTATTAGTTTCCCACTTCAGTAGCTTGACTCTAAATAATCTACATTACTAAGGATGAGGCCAGCCTCCAGATTTGAAATCAAACATGTCTTCATTAGAATAAACAAATAACAGGAATGGAACAGTATTTATTTTGATAAAATTCTGGCTTAATACAGACACTGAATCTTGCATCCCATATGCAAATGTCCTAAACAATCAAAGCAGGTTAGTCGGTACAGTAAGGAAATGGAGCCAAATAATCCCTTCATGTTACACACACACACATTTAAACCTGACGTAAGGAAAGGGCCTGACATGTTGTTCTCTTAACCATGTTGACCATCCCAACTTTGATTGTAACCCTCAACACAACTTGTATAAACACTTGAGCAATCATAAGTGGCTGTGGTTAGGCTGCAGTAACACTTAAGAGGTTACCCAAAACAGGGTTCAATGACAATGCTGCAAATGATAAAAAATTTCACATGAGCACATCAGTATGATATATCTATATATAGTGTGTTAAATGATTACCTATCCAAAATATCAGATATGTATACTTAGGCTAAATAACAGAACTTTTAGTTATATCATCAGTAAAGTAAAACTCTACATCAGAACATTACATTAAAGTTAGTGCATATTACATATATGATATTTGTTGGATTAAGAGAATATCGGCCATCGTCAGCCAAGGCCTAGCTAATTCATGGAGACTAGGAGTACCACAGGACAACTCTGGAAAACCAGATATCTGGAATATTGTTTTATTTGAAGAGAATGTAAAGAGTTGCAAAATTAGATTAAATTTGCAGACAAGTCACAATAACATAGCTGAAGTGCAGATTCAAAACCCACACATCTGAAAAATGAGGAAACGATGATGACGTTTTGGTCCGTCCTGGACCATTAGCAAGTTGTGTAAAATATATTATATATATTATATATATATATCACTAAGAACTCTTTGACCCGGCCAGGATTCGAACCCATGCCGTCCAGGATCACCCCTAAACGTACACAGTACTGTGACCACCGCACCAATGATCGTCTATGCACCACCAATGAGCGGTGGTCACGGTACGGTGTACGTTAATGGTGATCCTGGACGGCTTGGGCTCCAATCCTGGCCGGGTCAAAGAGTTCTTAGTGATATATGGCTTGCGCGTTCATGCAGCTTTCTCACACATTATATATACTGTATATATATAATATATATATATATATATAAAATTTTACACATGAGACTAGAATTTTACTTGAGTCTCACTAGTTAAGTGATTCTTAAGCGAAAACAATTTTTTGTGTGTAATTAAAGCAATTAGCAATGTTTACTCTGTTGAGTCACAACAAAATGTTTACTCTGTTGAGTCACAACAAAATGTTTACTCTGTTGAGTCACAACAAAATGTTTACTCTGTTGAGTCACAACAAAATGTTTACTCTGTTGAGTCACAACAAAATGTTTACTCTGTTGAGTCACAACAAAATGTTTACTCTGTTGAGTCACAACAAAATGTTTACTCTGTTGAGTCACAACAAAATGTTTACTCTGTTGAGTCACAACAAAATGTTTACTCTGTTGAGTCACAACAAAATGTTTACTCTGTTGAGTCACAACAAAACACTCATACTTTGAACAATATCAATGAGAATTCATTATAAGTTGAAGAACAAAGGATACATTAGCACCATGCTTGCTACCGAGCAATTGTAATTAGTAGCAAATTATAACACTTGCACAACAAAAATATAAAGTCAAGTAGAGATAATACAGCCCAAGCTTGTCTTCGGTGATGATATACACTTTCGTCAACATCCTCTCACTTAACATCCACTGCTCGTTAAAAAATATATTTAAAATGGAATTCGATGACCATTCCGTGGAGTTTTTTCTACTATTGGGAGTTGTGACTACAATTACCTCATCTCCCAAAACATTTTTTATTTTTATTCTCTATTTTTTTTTTTACAAATTTACTAAATTACTTTTTCAATCAATATGTAATTGTATAATGCTTTACATACAAAAATATTTTTTGTAAATGTTTTCAAATGTAATTACAATATTTTGCTTTCCTGTAGCATACAAAATGAAGGTTTGAATTAGATATCAAGGACTGACCAATTATTAGGTTTGTACTCAACATCCATGACTCTACATTTGTACTTAATCTAAACACACCATTGGTGCAGCCTTGAAGACTTATGGCTGAGGACATATGGATGGGATGGGAGGAGGGGAGATGCCTGCTACACTTCAGGTCTTTCCTACATTGAACCTTGGATTAAAATAAGACAAATGCAAACATGTAACTGGATATCAACAGCATTACAACAGTACATTAACAATGGATTCACATTAAAGGTTAACTTTGGCAAGACATCTGACTCACAACAGGCACAGTGCAATGACTAATGATAGGTGTAGGCTTCAGAAATATATTTTCAAGGCAGCAACAATCCTTATTTATATAATACAGTACCGGTACTCTGAAGATTATGACAAGCATTTATAATGATAAAACAAATTATATACTGTATATAATATATATATATACTGTATATATATATATATACACACAGTACTATATCTGTATAATAAAATATACTATTTCATAACATACATTCATTTGTTTAGTGAATATTGTCACATAAAAGAAAGCTCATCTCTTCAGCCTAACAGGTAATAGCGGCACTGAACAACTTTTATACGCTGACATTTGATGTGTTCGACAATGAAGTTATACTTACAATTCAATTTAGTAGTGCTGAGACATTACTTTTCTTCATGCTACTGATATAAATACTGATCACAAAGGTATGTTATATGCTGTTTACAATCTTATTTTCTTTAAGCATTAAGTAGGCAATGTACATATTCATTACATAGGAAGCTTAATAATGACTAGCTCTTAACCGCATTAAAATTAATAATTCATGACAACTTTGCTCTTTGAAATGTCAAAATTTGCCAAAGTTTCATTTTTATTTAGAATTTAAGAATTTAAATTATGCACCATTTTGATATAACTTAGGTAAATATTATTTTTTTCATGTACAATGGGGCAACAGTCATAAAAGAAAATACAAAGTCTAGTTTTGCATGAAGTCAAATGATTCACCAACACTACTAAACCCAACCAGTCGCATATAAAATATTAAAATAGAAAACATTTAACAACATATATTAATCTGTTTAAATACTATTAGAGGGAGACTAACTAGATTGAGGACAGTTTAAGTTAAAACTATGACAATTGTTATTGGAGTTAAGACCTTTCTATTGATTGATGATTAAAGTGAACTTAGAGCTCATAACAGGCAAGAGAACAGGCATTTTACTACAGTACTGTATATACTGTATTATATTACTTTGAAATTTGTTACTGCATTATTACCGAGTGGACTGCTAACACTTCACTAACTAAAGACACTTATTTCGTTGGTTTTTTATTCATTCTTGAAATTTAAATAAGGGTTTTAAAATTTTGCTTTCATTTTCCACTTTCATCAGTACAGTATTATGAAAGTGAATGCATTGTTAATCATCACGATGCAGCATTTGTTGGGGGCAACCTCCTGTGTGCACACTTTTTTGTCAAATAATTTTAGTTATGAAATGAAAGAACATGTAGATTATAGGAAAATTGTCAAAACTTTTGTTTAGCTGCTATACTTTTGATTTGAGCACAAATTACATACATTCCGTACATAAATGTGTATATGGAGTAACTCCTGCTGGCCTGCTAGCTCCCATTCCCACCTGCACACTTCTGCTTTGAAAGAATGTATTTCCTGCCAATCTGTCATTAATGTCTACTATTTCCACAAGTTCATTCAGGGAGATCCCTAGTGTCATTACAAATTATGAAATTTCATTAATATCATAAAAACATGAGTATCCTAGCTCCTCCACAAAAATACAAGATAGTTTTCTTCAAGAAGTACTGGACCAACCAGGTTGTAGTGGATATGTGGGCCTGCGGGCCGCTCCAAGCAAGAGCCTAGTGGACCAATTGCCACAAGTCAAGCCGGGCTTTGGGAGTAGAACCACTCCCAGAACCCCATCCAGGTTGACAGGATGGCGAGGCAAGGCAGAAGCATGCGACATGTCTCCCTCGCCGAGGTTAAGTGGCCACTAATGGCTTTCCAAGTGTATAAAATCAAGGCCATTCAGTCCCCATAGACTTTAACAGTTGCATGCGCAATCAAAAGTTTATATACTTTACGTTCAGTTGCTACACGTCTTGATGCTCACAAGCGGTCGGTAAATGCCACGAAAATCATGAAAGCGCTCATCATGTGATACACAGCAGAAGGATTAAGTGCACAGTTCTAGGGAGTCTGTTATAATTACATGAGTGTTTATATGTTAGTCATAGTGTAAAAGTAGTGTTGTGCATGCTAAACTTGCCCCAGATGCACACAATACTTCTCAAGGTAAATTTATTCTTGGTTTGTATGTGACATGGAAAGAACTTTGTGTTGTGTACAGGGGATTATGTTTATGAATGTGTACAAGAATATTTCCTCAACAGTTTTTCTGCGTCTAATTCCCTTTATTTATCCTTGGGTACTGAATATAAAAACTATACAGAATTTGTACACACGTGATGGTAATTAGCAGTCCACTCAAACGTCTTGGGTGGCGGATGTTAAACAAATGTCTGTCATTAAAATACTCTAGTATGTACTATAATGCTCCTTGCTGTTGTAACATTTTTTCTGCATCATCCCAGCATTCCAACTGTGGATTCTTTTAATAAATGCCTCCACAAAATAAAATTCAACAAGTCTTTAACAAACCTCTTTAAGAGTATTGTACATATTATAATTTAGTCCTATGTAATATAATAATGCCTGGCAATAATCACTCAACATACTCAATCACAACCATCCCAGTGAGCAAATAAATTCAAATATTTCTATGGCATATATATATATATATATACAACACCTACAAATACAATAATATCTATCAACAATATCAGCAATGACAAATATTTTTATTTATAAAGTCTGAGTAATTCTAAAATTTAAATTTTAGTTCCATAGAATGTTACATCATTGAAAATCTTGAGTTTCATTTCATTCACTTGGATTGTTGGAGATTCGAATTCAAAACTCAAAGGTATAAGACCGTTCTGCAACTTCTGAGGCCCGAATTCGAATCTCCGATGATTCACGCCATTGTGGATTTTATCTTGTATTCTAGTTCTCTACTCCTGTAAATTTTGTTGTATGATGATCTGAATTGCTTATTGTATATTAAACACTCAAAATTTGGGACTATCAACCCATGGTAAGTTTTAAATGAAGTGACAACTATATGAGAATGTAGTAAAGCACACCATTAGAGGACATTGCACTTACACATCCTTAGATATTTAGACACAGAAATTTACAATCTATTCAAAACAAAATGTTATACAGTGTATGTTCTCCATGTGTATCAGATGTTAATATTTCATAAAAGAAAGCAAGTTAAAATACAGATAGCCTTGGGACACAATAAACAATTTTTGTTTACTCAGACTCGCCTTCACATGCGGTCCCTTAAGGGCCCAAAAAGGGAACTCCTTGTTTACAACCACTTCTTGATTAAAACAAATAATAAAATAAAACTGGAACCTTAAATTATATTTTAAATATGTGAATCATCATATCCCAGCCCTCCCGTAATTTGATTAAAAATCTGAGCAAAGTAACAGGTCAAATGTATAAAATCTAAATCATATAATGATTAGCTACTTCGTGAGGCAGTTTTGCAGGAACTATATTTTACAGGAAAATGAAGAGGTATCAAATAACTGCTGCTAATAAAACTACAATATGTCTATTGATCATTTGTACATTTTTGGCACCTCATATTAAAAATATAACTGCCGAATGCAGTAATTTGCTTATATATTTTGTTAGTTATCTGTGTGTCAGTGTGAGGTGAAGATATTTTCTATTTGTGTAAAATGTTTCAAATCACTGACATATGACCAAAACCAATATGATGAAATTAAAAGATGTGGCTAACACCCTCAACACTGACATTCTACACACATAATTTATCATTAATTCATAAATGATTACAGTAAAACAGCTGATATTTAATCCAGTTTTGACAACTATCAAAAGACAACACGCAAAGCCTTTGAGTTTCGTTGTCATCTGCTGAACACTAAGTAGCACCCTAATCACTTCCTGTAGTGGGGACCTCAGATCTCCTGCACTGTTACATATTCTGTTTATGCAGCATTATGTACACACTTTGGTCTATTCATTGACCAAAACAGCTAATATACATAAAATATAATATGCACAATTAACACAGTTTGTATACTGTCTCTTATATTGAGTAAAATGTTTAAAATATTACACAATGATTTCAATAAGTTTCTACTTGCATTATTTCTTGTGTGGACATGAGTTATAGCAGAATAGTTTATAAACAACAACCAACACAGTGTTTCTATAAAAGTTACATGACCAGCAAGTGTACCTGGTCAAGTCTTCACTCACCACACACAAGCCTTGTCAATGAAATGTCTTTTCATTTGATGGCAAGGGACATGTTACATTTATAACCAAAACTTGTCAAAAGTTCTGTATTTTGACCAGTAAAAAATTAAATTGTAAAATATTACCGGGAACTTAAAAAGAAAAAGCTTTCATATCAAATCACACGGGAGTCATATTGGTAGGCGAGTCTAAATCATTGCTGTTCTCCCCAGATTTGGTGCGTTGTAAACAAACGTATCTAGTCACATAAGCATCACCATTCTGAGGCAACAGAGGTTCTACAGAGGGCCCTCCCCCATTTTCTTGAAGAGCACGATTCCAACTTGGTGAATTAAAGGAGACAGGAGGATTGAGAGAGGATGGCGTAGACGAAATAGAATTATTTGTTAAAACAGACGAGTTAGGAGCACGAGGGAAACTGTTGAGTTGAACTGCATTGGTGCTTGGGACATTTTCATTGCCCGATGTGTGGCGCACTCTTGTATTTGGAAGACGTGCATTGGGTGCAGAACTTCTTCGGCAAACCTGCTCAGTAGGCAATACAAACTCTAAGGAGTCTGTATCATTAATCTGGACTGCAGCTGAAGGAACCTCGAGGCACGGAGTAATAAGACGAGGCCACATGGTTAACGTTTCCATCAACTCGTTGAATGTGGGACGATCATGAGGATCCATACTCCAACAAGACAACAGAAGGCGCTCACTGAAAATTAGCATTTGCAATATTTAAATATCCTAATCCAGCATATTAGATCATTTATTATCCTAAAACCTAATATATATTTGTATTGAATGCATCATTTATTCCTACAACATGATCCAATGCACCATGTGTGTCGTGTGACCGAACTAATTATGCCCCTTCCTTGTTACCTTTGTTGGGGTTAGATGCAACTTGGTATATGTCTATTGGTCCATTCAATGAGCAATATGCTCATTGAATGGACTTACTTAACCTATACCTATAATAGGTTAAGTAATAATTGTAATTACGAAGCAATAAGATGCTTATCTTAACATACTAGGAAGGTTAGGTAAGGTCGGTGTTTTCTATGAAGCTTTTCAAGGTAAACTAGTATGTTAAGTATGTCACATATGCACGTATTTAATAAGTCAATATTGACTATACGAAAATGCAAGAACAGGTTGTTTCTGCTGCTAACAGGATCTTAACGAAGATGCCATCCAGTCTGGAGCCTATGTTGCTTGAAACTTTCCAGATTGCTTCAGTGTATTTTGACACTTGGATATACTGTATCTATTGCCTTCAACACTCCTGTTGGGGTTGAGTTCTTTTCCACCCTGTGGTGTGTGATATTTGTAGTATTTAGACCTCCATTGTAGCAAAGTCTGCTTCTTAGGTGGAGCCCTTTGTCATATTTTGCCATAACCCCCCTGCAGTTTTCAAAATATCTTAAATCTCAGAAATTTGACTCCTAATAGTGTTTTCTGAGGTGAATTCTGACTCTCTGCACCTATTTTCATTTTCAAATTATGACTCTTTATACCGAAATTATGCCAATTACTGAAAACAGCAATGGGTCATATTATGCCCATACCCCCTACAGTTTAAAAAAAAAAAACTGAAATGTCGGAAATTTGACAACTGAGCGTGATTTTTGAGTCGAATTCTGACTCTCTGCACCTTTTTTCATTTTCAAATTTCGACTCTTTATACCGAAAATATGCCAATTACTGAAAACGGCGATGAGTCATACTTTGCCATAACCCCCCTGCAGTTTTCAAAATATTTGAAATGTCTGAAATTTGACTCCCAAGCGTGATTTTTGAGCCAAATTCTGACTCTGCACCTATTTTAATTTTCAAATTACGACTCTTTATACCGAAAATATGTCAATTACTGAAAACAGCGATAATATGAGGTACTCATCAGTGCTTACCAGTATCATAAGAAAAGCTAAACTTTCACATTATGATACTAGATTCAAAGAAGCAAAAGGCAACATGAAAAGCACATGGAAAACCATCTCTAATATCCTCGGAACTAAACAACACTCCCATAACCAGATAACACTCTCTAAGGATGGCCTTACACCGTCATCTGATTTAGAAATGGTGAATGAATTTAATAGCTTCTGTTCATCGGTTGGTGCTAACCTTGCCAGTAAAATCCCACAGACTCAGACACATATCAACACATATCTCTCAGGCAGCTATCCAAACTATCTTCTCCTTTCACCAGTTAGCCCGACAGAATGTTGTGTCCATCATACACTTACTAAAAACCAAAGCTGGGAACATCAGTGAAATCCCATCCATTGTATACAAGAGCGCTTCCCATGCCCTTGTGACACCTATAGCTCTGCTGTTCAACAAATCCCTTGAGTGTCATACCTTCCCTGATATCCTTAAAAAAGCAAGAGTAACGCCAGTTCATAAAGGAGGTAATCCGGCAGACATAAACAATTATAGACCAATATCAAATCTACCTATACTATCAAAAATATTTGAAAAAATTATCTACAAACAGCTCAACTTTTATCTCATAAAATTCGACATTCTTAGCCCCTGTCAGTTTGGCTTCCGCTCCCAAAAGAGTACCAACGATGCAATTATTAGTCTCCTTGATATAATTTACTCAGCCCTTGACAAAAATGAGTTTCTGATTGGACTCTTCATTGACCTGAGAAAGGCCTTTGATACTGTTAATCACAATTACCTCTTACGTAAACTCCATCATTATGGAATTCGAGGCCATACACTGGACTATAACCAATCCTATCTTAGTGATAGACACCAATGTGTAGCCATCAATAATATAACCTCTCCCACTCTACCAATACCCGTTGGAGTGCCACAGGGCAGCATTTTAGGACCTCTCCTATTTCTTATATACATCAATGATCTGCCTAATGTCTCTAACATTCTGAAACCTATTTTGTTTGCTGATGATACTGCCTTCATCTACTATAACCCCAACCCACATACACTAAATAATGTTGTTAATAATGAACTAAAAAAAAGTCCACTTATGGATGTCAACCAACAAACTAACTCTTAACATAGAAAAGACCTACTTCATCTTATTTCGAAGCAAATCTACAAATGCAATTCAGCTTCAGATAGACAATGTAAACATTAGCAATAAAAATGATGGAAAGTTTCTCGACCTATTCCTAGACAAGATACTCAACTTCAGCACCCACATACAACACATAACTAAGAAAGTCTCTAAAACAGTTGGTATACTCTCCAAAATCAGATATTATGTACCTAAATCTGCTCTCATCTCTCTCTATTATGCACTAATTTATCCCTATCTCAACTATGGTATCTGTGCATGGGGGTCTACCACTGCAAACCACCTCAAGTCCATCATCACCCAGCAAAAATCTGCTATCAGAATAATAACAAATTCTGCTTTCAGACAACACTCAGCCCCCTTGTTTAACTCCCTAAACATGCTAAACATAATCTCACTCCACAAATTCTCTTGTGTCACTTACATTTACAAAACCCTGTTCTTAAATGCAAACCATGCTCTGAAACTCTCCCTGGACAGATGTAATAGGACCCATTATCACCACACCAGAAATAAATATCTCTTTGATATCCCCAGAGTCAAACTTAATCTGTGTAAACACTCTATGCAAATAAAGGGACCAAGTCTATGGAACTCACTCCCTATTGAATTGAAAAGCTGTCCAACTTTTGCGTCATTCAAAAACAATACTAAAAAGTACCTAATTTCATCTTCATAGTTTTTTACCTTTTACTTTAAAATTGCACTGTATCTATTGCTACCCAATCTCCCAATCTTTATGTACCCAATCTGAACATCTTTATCATTGTGATCATTGCTGACTTCTTATGTGCTGTCAATCTGCTGTATGGTTTCTATTAATCTTGTTTAAATTACCAATCAAGCTGTCAATGTAATCAATCAGAGCTTTAATATACCAATGTGCTTTAATATACTTACTAATCTCTCTCATCTCATTTTTTTTCTTGCAATGTATTTGTTATCATTTTATTAATTCTGATAGAATTTACCTACTTAAAATTATCTGTTAGATTAAGGACCTGCCCGAAATGCTGCGCGTACTAGTGGCTTTACAAGATTGTAAATACTGTACTATGCTATGTATTCTCACTAACCCAATGTACCTTCTTGTATATAAATAAATAAATAAATAAATAAAATAAATAAGTATTAATACCCTTTTATTACCAATAATGCACCTTTTTAAGTGCACCCATGATATTAAAATGTTTAAGATTTGTACATCTGTCTGAAAGAGAGAGAGAGAGAGAGAGAGAGAGAGAGAGAATCAAATTAAATCAAATATAACCCCTTAAAATTAATGCTAACAAAACTAACCATGATTTAGTATTAACCTGTAAATAATATTTAGTCTAACAGGTTTCAATTAGATATTATGTCAATATATGTTTGGAGAAGTTTAAGTTCTTGGGATTTTTGTGGTTTCATATTATGCACTGGTGCAGGTGGTACACATTTGTTCAGCACTGATGTCCGGTAACCAACAACCATCTAGAGATTGGCAACTTTATTCTAGGAGCTACGAGAGGTATTCTGGCATAGACCCGCTTTTAAAATTCCATTCGTCCATGTACAGGGGCCTCGTAACCTGGTGGATAGCGCGCAGGACTCGTAATTCTGCGGCGCGGGTTCGATTCCCGCACGAGGCAGAAACAAATGGGCCAAGTTTCTTTCACCCTATGCCCCTGTTACCTAGCAGTAAATAGGTACCTGGGTGTTAGTCAGTTGTCACGGCCTGCTTCCTGGGGGTGGAGGCCTGGTCGAGGACCGGGCCGCGGGGACACTAAAAGCCCCGAAATCATCTCAAGATAACCTCAAGATACAGCTAATACTGATTATATCAGGTTCTGGAGCAGTATCCTGGCTGCTTGTTACCTGTTGGATATTGACTGTATATACCTGCCTGCAATGTATTCTCTTAGGACAGAAGCCATTCTCCCAAGATCTTTAGTCCAGTTCAACTCTCCATTTCATACTGGTATCTTACCTAACCTTGAGATGGTTTCGGGGCTTAGCGTCCCCACGGCCCGGTCCTCGACCAGGCCTCCTCGTCATTCCATGTGCTGCATATTGATGTAGTCAGTCCCCTTTGGGGCATTTTGAGTTACTAAGGGAAGCTACTGCGGGTTGCAATGCCAGAAATATAAAATTTGAGTGTAATAAAATGCTCTCTCCTGGGTTTCACCATGATAGCACCCTCTGTTCCTGCCCTAAATCCTAGTTATCTATCTTCAGGGCAACAAGTGGTGTTAAATATAGCAAAGCTAGAAGAAGGAAAAAGAAGACAAGATTACTACAAGCAAAAATGTTGATAGGAATCAACAAGCTGACAAGGAGGAATTGTTGAAGTCTGCAGCTCCAAGCCATAGATTCAAGATAATGAAACAAAGTTGCCAAAAAAATATACAGACGCTTTCTTGCGAACAGTCAAGGATGGTTGGAGTAATTGAAGTTTGTTTCGGCATCCATCACCTTCTATCATATGACAATGATTCTAGGGAAAACAGACACCACAAGCATAGCTCTTGTCCTGTAACTACACTTAGGTAATTACAAAAAAAAAAAGGAAAATTTCACTGCCATTATAATTACAGTGGAACCTCCGTTTTCGAATTTATGAGTTCTCGAGCTCAATTTCTTCAAAAAATTTGACTCGGTACACAAAGTTTGCCTCGGTGCTCGAGTTTGTTGATACACGTATGGGCCAACCGACCATTTCATAACTTTTGTGCATTTTTGGTTCTGAACATAAAAGTTTTTATCATATATCATGCCGTGGGTTCCAAGAAAGTCAGTGGTAAAGTTTAACCTAAGAAAATAGTTGTGAGGATGACAATAGAGGAAAAATAAGAGATCTTTCATAGTGAGGCAATGTGATTAGGGAAAAACAAGTGGCTATAGACATTCTTAGTAAGACAAGCAAGCACTGTGAGCCAAACCAGGTCCTAGTGGTATACCTGCAAAACGTAAGAGTGTGTCCCAGAAATGTCATCACTGGTGTTGGTAGAGAATTCTCCTTATAAATCACTTACACCTCTCATCCTACCTCACTGTCTTCCATACCCCAACAAGGGTCATCAATAAAGGTAAGGTAGCTATGAGTATTATTCTGTATAAAATATATTTTTTAGTAAATATTTTTTGGAGTTGTGGAATGGATTAATTCAATTTACATTATTTTTATGGGAAAATGGGATTTAGTTGACCAGACCACACACTAGAAGCTGAAGGGACGACAATGTTTCGGTCCGTCCTAGACCATTCTCAAGTTGATTCTCAAGACAATCGACTTGAGAATGGTCCAGGACGGACCAAAACGTCGTCGTCCCTTCACCTTCTAGTGTGTGGTCTGGTCAACATACTTTAGCCACGTTATTGTGACTCATCGCCTGCAAATGTGATTCAGTTTTCAAATCGTCTCCGGGAACAGATTAAATTCGAGAACTGGTGTACCACTGTACTTATTTACTGTATTTATTAAAATACTGTATTAAGTTATCCAGGTGCATGAGTTTAAACCAGCAACATATACTGTATTGCTTAAATCTAAACAAAGCAATTCCAACAATTCAAACACCTATTCAGTACATACTGTACTTGTTTTCATATGAACATTTGTCAAAGGTCTTACTTGATAAACATGCAAAACTGTACACTACACAAGTATAAATACTCACAGCTGAGGCTTGACACCTTTGGGAATGGTAATAGTGTTTCCTCCCCTTACAGTCTCCAGTACCTGGTTGTTTGACATTCCCTGCAAGACAATCAGGACATCAATCCCTTGTATCTCAAAGTTAACTGTGGTCGACCTTTAAAACACTACATATACAAATATTACATAATTACAACAGAAGAAAAATAAATGACTATTTGCATCTGCTTATTATGCTTGTTTGTTATCAGTCTCACTTTATTCCTTAAAATATATGCATAAAGAATCTAAACAAATTCACCAAGAGGAAATAGTCATTTACGACCAGGAGGCCTGGTCGACGACCGGGCCGCGGGGACGCTAAGCCCCGGAAGCACCTCAAGGTAACCTCAAGGTAAGGTACTTCAAAGCTAGGAGAAGCCCCTTTGTGGCTCCCTGTAGCTAACATCTCTGATGTGTGTAATGTCTAAAAGTTGCAGTCAGTTGTGGAGTTCTCTGGCCTACTGGAGACCCAGAGCCACAATCCATGTCTCCTCACAGAGGCACGGGGAGCAGTGGCATTTATCTTTTCATATGCCACCACCAGGGAAGACACCCACAAAGTTAGCAAGACAACAAACCACAGCTGGCTATTTCCTACACCTGCACACTCTAAAACCAAAGAACTCCCCCAAACTATGTAAACAAATGACAGAAATTATTATGAACTAACACTTGCTCATTTGCCCTGCCCTCCTCCTCATATGGGGTGGGAGGAGAGGCAGCCCACAGGCGGTGCCTCTTCAACCTTCAGTTCTCCTCTGATGTGTCAGGTTGCTGCAGTAGCTCTGGCCAAGTTATTATTTCTTGCCTTGGTGGGAGTTCTTTCCACTTTCAGTGTGTGTTGGCCAGGAGTTCTGTGCACTTGCAGCTACATGTGCTCATGGTCCTCTTCCCCCGTGCACTCCCTAATGCCTCCCTTGCACTGCCAGGGTTCTCTTACCTGGAGTGTTCAGATACTTCCCTATAATCTTTGGAGATCTGCCTTGCTTGTGGTAGTTTTTGCCTTGGGGCAAATCTGACGCATTCACCCTCTGTCTTTTTCCTGGTTTGGAACATCTCTGGCTGGTGTGGCATCATTGGGTAGTCGCAGGTGCAATACAGCGTGCCAAGGTTGATTTTCCTAGCCGAGTGGTCTAGGCTGGGTTGATATACTGGAGAGCACCGGTGTCACATTCCAGCGCTTGAGTTTTCTGCTTAACTCAAGCTTTCGGGCCCTGGAAGTCCCCAATGGGTTCGGCAGTCTATTTGGGTAAACTCATCAACCCCACCCTCCCTATTTGTGAGATTCAAGGTACACATCATCAGTGCCACCACGTGATGTTGATTCCCCCCCCCTGCCTCCACCTGCTGCCTGTTGGGTTGCTGACACCTTCAACCCTGAGTCATGGACAGTATATTCCCATCATGTCTCTTCCCAGCCCTTTTGTTGACGTTCGAGCTTCCAAGGCAGCGACCGCTCTGCATCTTCATTTATCTAGAGTACAGCAGTCCAGGTTGTAATTACCTAAGTGTAAGTGTAGTTACAGAATGAGAGCTAAGCTCGTGGTGTCCCGTCTTCCCAGCACTCTTTGTCATATAACGCTTTGAAACTACTGACAGTTTTGGCCTCCACCACCACCTCCTCTAACTTGTTCCAACCATCTACCACTCTGTTTGTGAAAGTGAATTTTCTTATATTTCTTCGGCATCTTTGTTTACTTAGTTTAAATCTATGACCTCTTGTTCTTGAAGTTCCAGGTCTCGGGAAATCTTCCCTTTCAATTTGATCACTTCCTGTTACTATTCTGTACATAGTGATCATATCACCTGTTTCCTCGCACAACGTTCTTTATGTGGATCTCAGGTGATAGTTTTCTATCTAGAACCACCCCTAGATCTCTTTCTTTGTCAGAATTCTTTAAAGATGTCTCATAATTTATAGGTTGTGTGGGGTCTATGTTCTCCTATTCCACATTCCATAACATGGCATTTACAGTATTCACATTAAATTCCATTTGCCAAGTGGTGCTCCATATACTTATTTTGTCCAGGTCTTCTTCAAGGGCATGACAATCATCTAAGTTTCTTATTCTTCCTATTATCTTAGCATCATCAGCAGTGATGATGCAATTATACATGTCCATATAATTCTGTATTCCATCTGGTAGATCATTTATGTAGACGATAAACATCACTGGTACAAGTACTGAACCCTGTGGTACTCCACTTGAGACATTTCTCCAGTCCAATACATTGCCTCTGATTACTGCCCTCATTTTTCTATCAGTCAGAACATTTTTCATCCATGTTAGAAGCTTACCTGTCACCCCTCCAATATTTTCCAGTTTCCAGAACAACCTCATATGTGGAACTCTGTCGAAAGCCTTTTTTTAGGTCCAGATAGATGCAGTCAACCCAACCATCTCTTTCTTGTAAAATCTCTGTGGGTCGATCATAGAAACTCAATAAGTTCGATACACAGGATCTTCCAGATCGAAAACCATACTGTCTGATATTATATAATTTCTCTCCAGGTGTTCTACCCATTTAGTTATTATTATTTTTTTCTAATATTTTGACTATTACTCTTGTCAATGATACAGGTCTATAATTGAGGGGGGGGGGGGGGGGGTCTTCCCTGCTGCCACTTTTATAGATTGGAACTATGTTAGCCTTTTTCCACACGTCTGCTACGACTCCTGCACACAGGGATGTCTGAAAAATCTGGTGAAGTGGAATGCTGAGCTCAGATGCACATTCTCTCAGAACCCATGGTGAAACTCCATCTGGGCCAACTGCTTTGTTCTTACCTAGCTCCAAGAGCATTTGCTTCACTTCATCTCTAGACACCTCTATGTGCGCTATGCTGTTCTCTGGTATTCTTATTGTGTCTGGGTCTCTGAAGATCTCATTTTGTACAAATACACTTTGGAACTTTTCATTTAATGTTTCACACATTTCATTTTCATTTTCCATGTGTCTGTCCCCCATTTTCAACCTCTGAATATTATCCTTTACCAGCAGCTTGCTTTTAATGAATTTATAGAAGAGGCCTAGATCTGATTTACATTTGTCTGCTATATCGTTTTCCAAGTTCCTCTCTGTCTCTCTCCTTACTGATGTGTAGTTGTTTCTTGCATCTTTGTATCGCTGGTATGTTTGGGGGTTTGGCCTCTTCTTATAATGATTCCATGCTTGTGTCTTATGTTCTCTGGGCCTCTCGCAATTTCTGTTGAACCAACCCTGTTTCTTAGGTCTGCATCTCTGTTTTGGTATGAATGTTTGTGTGCCTTCATTGTATATTTCACAAAATTTGGCATACATCTCATTTACTTTCTTGCCTAGCAACAAATCTGTCCAATTATATCCATTAAAAAATTTCTAAGTTCCCCATAGCGTCCTCTCTTGAAATCGAGTTTAACAACTGTTTCAATGTCCCCATTCTCTACTAGATTATATTGCATAGCATATTTAATATCCAAGAGGACATGATCACTCTTTCCCAAGGGAGGAAGGTACTGGATGTCAAATACCTCCTCTTCTTTCCTGGTGAATACATGTACTAGATCCAGTACTGACGGATTATCCCCTTTCCTCATTCTTGTGGCCTGCTTGACGTGTTGATACATGAATGTCTCCAAGATGAGGTTTGCAAATCTGCCTGTCCAAATGTCCTCTGTTCTTGCCTCGTAGGCCTCCCAGTCTATTGCTTTAAAGTTGAAGTCCTCAGTACCAACAATCGGGATTTATCTTTGTCAGCTCTTACCATAATCTCTCTCATGACCATTATGAGACCCTCTCATTTGTCATCCAGTTCTTCCTTTGTCCATGTGTTGCTTGCTGGTGGGCTGTAGGCATTTAAAATTATCAGTTTATCATCTTGATTCCAGACCTGCAATGCCATTATGTCAATATCTTGAGGGTTTTCAATTATTAACTCTCTTACCTTCAGGTGTTCTTTCACCAGCACAGCCACTCCTCCCCTTCCTAGTTTTCCTGTCACATCTCCAAACTGAGTAGCCCCTTGGGAATACAACCTCATTTAAAATATTTTCTTCAAGTTTCATCTCAGTTAATGCGACAATATCTGGGACTTTAAGCTGAATTATATCCTTCAACTCCAATATTTTCGATGTCACTCCATCTATGTTGGTATATACTATTTTCAAGAACATGTTCCCCTTCCCTTTGTTCTTTACACCCCCTTCCTTTAATGATTTTGTTGCTTTGTCTTTATGTACCATTTCACAAGCTTTCCAATCCCTGACACTTAGTAGAAAAAAATGCCTTTCTTCTCCATTTCTATCCCCCATTTAGACATTTTGCTTCAATGAGGTTCATTTTCAGCTTTTCTCTGTCCTCTTTTGAGAGGGGTAGTCTTTTTGCCAAAGTTTACCATCCTCGTCACATTGCAATTTTCTGTTTCTATTTTCTAATTTGTGTGCCCAATTGGATGCTCCAGAGCTGCCCCAGTTGGTTTTCAGGGTCTTGGAATTAGAGGTGTTGGTCACTTCAACTTTGGGCTCTGTTGCACCTCTTCCTTCCTGGTTTGCTCAATGATGCTCGTCCTTCTTACCCCCCCCCCCCCCTCTTTCCGAAACTGAGCCATCTGAGGGCTTCAGCATCAACCAAGGGTTTAGTTTAGGATGTAGCTGGGGCAGTTTTGGGGGGTTACCCCATCTGAACTGGGCATGGAGGCAGTTGAGCCTCTCGGTCCTGCTGAAGCTTCAGGTCATTCATACCAGCCAGCCCCTCCCTTTGAGGCCTCCACCTGTTGACTACCTATTGAAGATTCTAGGGGTTAATGTCCCTGCAGTCCAGTTTCTAACCAGGCCATCTGGTTGCTGGTCTGATCCAGCAATAGTAGAAAGAATCATTAGACTACCTAAGCTCACTCTGGTCCTAATATGTAAGGTTATCAAACCCCATATGTAAACCGATCATCACTACACTATTGTGAAAAATATGATAAATGGACATGTGATATTTCCCATATACTGTAAGTGGGAAATGAGGGTAATAGATATGTATGTGAAGTATGTACCTGAAAGGGAAAGCTGCCAAAAGTGATGATTTCATATAGCAAAACTCCGTATGACCACATATCACTCATGTTGGTGAAGAGTCCATCTTCAAGGGACTCTGGAGACATCCATCGCACAGGTAGCATGGCTGTAATGAAAAAGAAATATGTGACTTACGTTTTAAACGTCCTGGCAAGGGACCTTCTGGCAATTACTGACTTATAAATACAAAATTATCTATTTAATAGTTATGTAACTGGAAGTTAATGCAGATAAAATATTTTTTTTAATTAATACTTATGTGGCACTGTACATTTAGTAAATTCTTGCATGTTCATAATTACATTCTTACACACCTTGGAAAGTGAAAATCATTTATCTGTTAAATCGTAAAAATATGTACCAGTATTATGAATGTTAACAGGCCGATAACTCATAATGTGCCCGTATATGAATATACTCAAGTCTGGGAGAGGACACACGCAGAGTCCAAAATTAAAATATTCGTTAAAAATCCATTTTTCACGATCATTATGGGACTATTTTTAAAATGCACACCTTTTGATTGCAAACAATTTATTACCAGAATGAATGACGTAGCACGAAAATTGAGGTGACAAAACTGTAAAGAGTATAAATATTTGAGTGCAGGTGATGAGTGCGCGCTCACGGGTAAAGCTCAGCCTAACTTGGGGTGTGCTGCATGTGGGGCTTGAGGTTATCTTGAGATGATTTCGGGGCTTTTAGTGTCCCCGCGGCCCGGTCCTCGACAAGGCCTCCACCCCCAGGAAGCAGCCCGTGACAGGTACCTATTTTACTGCTAGGTAACAGGGGCATAGGGTGAAAGAAACTCTGCCCATTGTTTCTCGCCGGCGCCCGGGATCGACCCCGGGACCACAGGATCACAAGTCCAGCGTGCTGTCCGCTCGGCCGACCGGCTCCATTTCATCTTATATGTATTTCCTTTTGAGCACTCTATTGCAAACAATTTGACACCAAAATGAACAATGTAGCACAGCCTGTCAAGTGGCTTGCCAGGCCATTTGACCTTATACAGTATGCATATATCCCTTTAGGGAATTCTATTGCGAACAATTTGATACCAAAATGAACGACGTAGCACGAAAACTGACAAGAGTATACACATTTTAGTGTGGATGCACGCTGATGCAAAACACTCAGCCCAACTTGGGGTGTGCTGGGTGGCGCGCGCCAGATCGGTCAAAGTGTTAAACTGCTTTTGAAAAGTTGTAAGCAATGAAATTTTAAATCATTGATTTTAGGTCATGTTTAAACATAAGCTTATACAATGCTGAGTAACTTCATGATTATCTTCTTGAATATTCATGTACATTTATATCTAAATAAAGCTTTAACCTTTGTACTGCATTAGTATAATATGACAACTCTGTGGTGCACGTAAAAAAAAAAAAAAAAAGTCCCCTAATTTCTTTTCCTTTCTAATACTGTTAAAATGTGTTCCCTGTTTACAGGAAACTAAAAAAAAAAAAATTGTATATGACAGGCATTAAATAATTAGTCACTCTGTGGCGCTTGCCCTGACAGCTCCGTGGGGCGGAAATTGCCGCACAGATATTTTCATATTTATTTCAATGTCTCTGAATGGTTTTTGATCTAGATTTTTCAGTACAGTATTATTCAATAATGTGAAATTTGAGTAATTTATATAGTCAAATGTGTGGAACATTGCTACACTTAAAAATATGGTGTGCATATTAATTAATAACGCGCACATTCTTAGAACATTATAAAAGTGTTTTTGCCGTTATTACACTACTGTATACAGTATACACATGCTAATATAACTATCTACATTTCTGTATACCATAAAAAATCACTAAGCTGGTCTGGTGACAGTTATGTATACTCTTATTTTAATCTCATATAATCGTATTTAATCTTGTATCTTGTATAATCTCATTAAACCTCTTTTTCAAGTACAATAATGTTATCCTATATCTTGCAAAGATTTCATTACCACACCCACCATAATTATTTAGTGATTCATTATGGTTTATAAAATTGTATTTATATATGAAGTGTTAATATAGTGTAATAACAGCAAATATTGAATGTTTTATTGATCAAAGAACATGATATTGTGAGCATTATAGGGCTGTCAGTATTATTTGTATCACAGAACATGTAAATTGTAGATACGCACAGATTTATTTGTTACTATAATGATCACAATATCATGTTCTTTGAACAATAAAACATTCAATTTTTGCTGTTATTACATTATATTAACACTTCATATATAAATACAATTTTTTAAACCATAATGAATCACTAAATAATTCTGGTGGGTGTGGTAATGAAATCTTTGTAAGGTATAGGATAACATTCTACGACTAGATGACGCCACCAGACATCACCTAACACAGCAACATGCCTTCAGTACACTATGCACATTGCTAAGTCTAGCCACAACACTGCTATTATTATCACATACCTATTACTAAATCATGAGTTTGAATAGTTTTTCACAAGAATATTTTCTAAAGGAATATGACATCACATTTCATGATGTATAGATACATGAAACCTTAGCTGTGAATGAAATTACCTAAGTGTAGTTACAGGATGAGAGCTACGCTCGTGGTGTCCCGTCTACCCAGCACTCTTTGTCAATAAACGCTTTGAAACTACTGATGGTTTTAGCCTCCACCACCTTCTTACTTAACTTGTTCCAACTGTCTACCACTCTGTTTACAAAAGTGAATTTTCTTATATTTCTCCAGCAGCTTTGTTTCATTAGCTTAAATCTATGACCTCTTGTTCTTGAAGTTCCAGGTCTTAAGAATTCTTCCCTATCAATTTTGTCAATTCCTGTTACTATTTTGTATGTAGTGATCATATCACCTCTTTTTCTTCTGTCTTCTAGTTTTGGCATATTTAATGTCTCTAACCTCTCCTTGTAGCTCTTGCCCTTCAGTTCTGGGAGCCACTTAGTGGTATGTCGTTACACCTTTTCCAGTTTGTTGATGTGCTTCTTAAGATATGGGCACCATACAACCGCTGCATATTCCAGCTTTGGTCTAACAAAAGTTGTGAACAATTTCTTTAGTATTTCTCCGTCCATGTATTTAAAAGCAATTCTGACGTTAGAAAGTGTAAGATAGGCTCCTCACACAACGTTCTTTATGTGGTCCTCAGGTGATAGTTTTCTATCTAGAACCACTCCTAGATCTCTTTCTTTATCAGAATCCTGTAAAGATTTCTCACATAATTTATAGGTTGTGTGGGGTCTATGTTCTCCTATTCCACATTCCATAACATGGCATTTATTCACAATAAATTCCATTTGCCAAGTGGTGCTCCATATACTTATTTTGTACAAGTCTTCTTGAAGGGCATGGCAATCATCTAAGTTTCTTATCCTTCCTATAATCTTAGCATCATCAGCAAACATGTTCATATAATTCTGTATTCCATCTGGTAGATCATTTATGTAGACAATGAACATCACTGGTGCAAGAACTGAACCCTGTGGTACTCCACTTGTGATATTCCTCCAGTCCAATACATTGCCTCTGATTACTGCCCTCATTTTCCTATCAGTCAGAAAAATTTTCATCCATGTTAGAAGCTTACCTGTCACCCCTCTTATATGTTTCAGTTTCCAGAACAATCTCTTATGTGGAACTCTGTCAAAAACCTTTTTTAGGTCCAGATAGATGCAGTCAACCCAACCTTCTCTTTCCTGTAAATCTCTGTGGCTCGATCATAGAAACTGAGTAAAGTCGATACCAGGATCTTCCAGATTGAAAGCTATACTGTCTGTTTGATATATCATTTCTTTCCAGGTGTTCTACCCATTTAGTTTTTATTATTTTTTCCAATATTTTGACTATTACACTTGTCAATGATACAGGTCTATAATTGAGGGGGATGTCTTCCCTGCTTCCACTTTTGTAGATTGGAACTGTTAGCCTTTTTCCACACGTCTGCTACGACTCCTGTACACAGGGATGTCTAAAAAATCAGCTGAAGTGGAATGCTGAGCTCAGGTGCACATTCTCTTAGAACCCATGGTGAAACTCCATCTGGACCAGCTGCTTTGTTCTTAGTTCCTTGAGCATTTTTTCCACTTCATCTCTATAGACACCTTTATGTGCTCTATGTTGTTCTCTGGAATTTTTATTGTGTCTGGTTCCCCTGAAGATTTCATTTTGCACAAACACACTTCGGAACTTTTTGTTTAATGTTTCACACATTTCCTTTCCATTTTCCGTGAATCTGTTTCCCATTTCAACCTCTGAATATTATCCTTTACCTGCAATTTGTTGTTTATGAATTTATAGAATAGGCCTGGTTCTGTTTTACATCTGTCCACAATCCCTTTTTCAAAATTTCTTTCTGCCTCTCTCCTCACTGACGTGTAGTTGTTTCACGCATCTTTGTATTGCTGGTATGTTTGGGGGTTTGGCCTCTTCCTGTATTGATTCCATTTTTGTGACTTTTGATCTCTGGCCCTCTTGCAATTTCTGTTGAACCAATCCTATTTTCTGGTTCTGCATCCCTGCTTTGGTATAAATTTTGTTGTGCCTTTATTATATATATCACAAAACTTGACATACATCTCATTTACTTCCTTGCTTAGCAACAAGTCTGTCCAATTATACTCACTAAAAAAATTTCTAAGGTCGCCATAATGTTCTCTCCTGAAGTCAGGTTTTTCAACTGCTTCACCCTCCTTATTTTCTTCCAGATTATAATGCATTGCATACTTTATTCCCAAAAAGACATGGGCATTTTTACCCAAGGAAGGAAGATACTGAATGTCAAATATATCTTCCTCCTTCCTGGTAAATATCAAATCTAGCATGAAGGGAACATTCCTTTCCCTCATCCTCGTAGCTTGTTTAACATGTTGATACAAGAATGTTTCCAGGATGAGGTCTACAAATCTACAGGTCCAAAAGTCCTCTGTTCTAGCTTCATATGCTTCCCAGTCTATGGATTTCAAGTTGAAGTCGCTGACTATCAACAGTCGTGATCTATCTTTATCCGCTCTTGCTATAATCTCTCTCATTATTGTTATAAGACCTTCTCGTTTACTATCTAGCGCCTCCTTTGTCCATGTGCTGCTTAGCAGTGGACAATCTGCATTTATGATCATTAGTTTATCATCCTCAAGGCAGATATCTACTGCTATTACGTCAACTTCTCGTGGACTGGCAATCATTATTTCGTTTACCTTTAGGTGTTCTTTCACCAGCACAGCAACGCCACCGCCATTCCTAATTTTTCTGTACCTTCTACAAACTGAGTAGCCCCCTTGGGAATATGACCTCATTTAAAATAACATCTTCAAATTTTGTCTGTCACCTGCTGTGCACATCAAACCTTGCATTGTATTCACTGATATCTGAACCTTGTACTTAGTCTTTATTACAGTCAGGATCATCTATGACAAAATCATTACAAAATAATTGCAGTTACTGTACTTATTTTATTCATCATTATTAAGTGGTGGTGTGACCCCGACCTGCACAGCTGTGCCGTGAGCTCCTACTGCACATGCCAGCAGTGGTCACTAGCAGTACCGAGGCTCTCACAGACAGGAGGAATGCAGACGATTTTTTTCAAGATGGTGTCTATTTACTGGAGTCCTGGGGCACAGGATGTGAGCCCTGTGTACCTGTGGGAGTTTTGAATCATTCCCTGTATCTAAACCTGCCTTATGGCACCCGTCAAGAATCTTAAAGGTGTTTTGCACAGTACATACATGGATTAAATATTTATTTATTAAATACTGAACTACACTTACCTCGTCTGTTGAACCGGTAATAGTCGCTCTCATACATTGGACGAGTCATGCCAAAGTCCGAGAGCTTGACCGTTCTCTCGGCACTCACTAAGCAGTTTCTGCATGCCACATCTCTGATAGTACAAAAGTTGGTTGATATTAGCATATAGGTTCCTGTAGTTTGTGAATAAGAATGTAATATCTAGTCCCAGGACAAAACCTTGTAAACATGATATTGAGTAAATATAAAATGGATATATCAGAGTAATGCCATTTGGTTAACCCATAACCCCTTGGACAGCGACTATAGAAAAGTCGTCATTCCTGCAAAAATAAAAAATTATAATAAATAATGTTTCATTATAGAATTATTGAATTGTATTCAAAATTTAAGAAAGACATGAAAGTAAGTGAATATGTATCAATTTACTGGGTGGAGGAGCTCTGAATGGCTGTGAGTTGGCTATATGGTCTGGCGTCTGTCAACACAAGATGCCCGACTTTGCTGACACTGAGATGTACGAGACATGACTCCTGTGTTCTCTTCAGATATTTCACTGATTGTTTATCACTTGTTTCTCTATTTACGAGAGTACTGTATGTGTGTTAACACTTTTGTCCTCCGAGGACGGATTTGACACGTCCACAAATAACTCTGTAGATGTTGGGCGGGGACACATGTGGCGTCCAAAATTAAAATATTTGTTATAATTCAATTTTTTACCCAATCAATATGGTGACTAGCTTTAAAATGTGCACCTTTTGATTGCGAACAATTTGATACCAGAATGAACAACGTAGCATTAAAATTGAGGTGAGGAAAGTGAAGAGTGTTCACATTGTGTATAACGCTCAGGGGTAACCGATTTTCGGGTTTGCTGCGGGTTGCACGCCGGGCTTTTTCACCTTATATGCATATATTCCTTTAGAGGATATATTTGATAGCAAAATAAACGATGTAAGACGAAAAGTGATGTGAGAAAATTGAAAAGAGTATACATATTATAGTGCAGTTGCGCATTCACGGGTAACGCTTCACTAATTTTCTGGTTTGCTCTAGGTGGCACGCCTGGCTTTTTGACCTTATATGCATATATCCCTTTAGAGAATTCTATTGCGAACAATATGATACCAAAATGAATGGCGCACAACAAAAATTGAGGTGAGAAAACTTTAAAAAAAAAGAGTACCTATATTTTAGTGCAGGTGTTGTGGTTGTGCAAACAGGTTCTTGCTCACGGGTAAAGCTCGTCCGATTTTCAGGTTTGCTGCAGGTGGTATGTCGGGCTTTTTGACCTTGTATGCATATATCCCTTTAGAGAATTCTATTGTGAACACTTTGATACCAAAATGAACCATGTAACATAAAAATTGACATGAGAAAACTGAAAACAGTATACACATTTTAGTGCAGGTGTTGGTGTGCAGATGTGTGCTCACTCACAGGAAACGCTCGGCCCAATTTTCGGGTTTGCTGCGGGTGGCATGCCAGGCTTTTTGACCTTATATGCATATATTCCTTTAGTGAACTCTATTGTGAACAATTTGATACCAAAATGAGCGATGTAACATGAAAACTGACATGAGAAAACTGAAAAGAGCATACACATTTTAGTGCTGTTGGGCGCTCACGGGTAACGCTCGGCCAAATTTTTTTGGGGGGGGGGCTGGGTTTTTGGATCTTATATGTATATACCCCTGTACGGTTTTTGTGAACTATTGTGAACAAATTGATACCAAAATGAACAACGTAGTCCGAGAATTGAGGTAAGAAATCTGAAAGAGTATATTGTACTCATTTTAGTCCTATTGCATGCTCACGGGTAACTCTCGGCCTATTTTTGGGTTTGGTGCGGGTGGCACGTCAGGCTTTTTTGACCTTATAACAGTATGCATATACCCCTGTAGGGAATTCTATTGTGAACATTTTGATACCAAAATGAACGACGTACAACAAAAATTGAGGTGAGAAAACTGAAGAGTATACACATTTTAGTGTGCTACCCGCTCATGAGAAATGTTCTGCCCACCTTGGGGGCACGCCAGGAACGCGAAACTGTTAAATAACTTGATAAATCACATACCGGGTAATTCACATAACACTATATAATAATGTTTCAACTGATGATCGATTTACCTGGAATACTTCATTTCAACCATATAGGGTAGTGAAAAGTATATAAATAATGCACAAATGGTGTTGAGCTCTGGGCGATGACTTGGCCTAATTGGCACCACATGGCTGAGAGTTTAGAGTGAAACAAAGGCCAAAGCTTTTGTTTCACCTTTTTCATCTTCACCAGCCTTTGTTATGGCACCCAAAGATGATGGCAGGCTCCTAGTACACATACTGTAATGTATGATAATGGTTCAATTTATGATTGGTTTACCTGGTATACCACAGTGCAATATACCGAGTTGTGAAAACCACATGAACATCATTGGTATGCATACCATGTAATTATGATGGAATTTTATACAATGACCGCATTCACCTAGTAACATAACCATAAAATGATAGTAGGATTTTTTTCATGGTCAAGGTAAACACCATTCATCCACAGACGTCATTATATTTTTAGTTGCATCAAACATGTAAAACCCAGACAATAACTGTTTAAATCATCATATGACGATAACCGCATTACCCCCATGAATCAACATATGATGATAACCTCTGTCTAAGGAATCACGGTATCCTCACGAAAAAGATCTTGGTAACTTGATGGGTAATATTCTTTGCAATGGAGCTGCAGGTTAATTAAATGTGCTTGGGATTACTGCGGACAACCTCAAATCTAGCCTAGAATTGATCGGCAGACCACCTTGTTGTCCGAGTCACTGTACCTAACAAAATCTCAGGCTTGAAAGAGTTGTTCTTTGTTATCAAATATGGCCACCAAATGGTAACAGTGTCATCACTAAAATGGTTTGTAGACTCCTAATGCCTCACATTTTTCTTGGACACATACAACACACAGCAAGCAAGAGAGAGCTAAAGGAGGGGAGGAGGTTATCTTGAGATGATTTCGGGGCTTTTAGTGTCCCCGCGGCCCGGTCCTCGACCAGGCCTCCACCCCCAGGAAGCAGCCCGTGACAGCTGACTAACACCCAGGTACCTATTTTACTGCTAGGTAATAGGGGCATAGGGTGAAAGAAACTCTGCCCATTGTTTCTCGCCGGCGCCTGGGATCGAACCCAGGACCACAGAATCACAAGTCTCGCGTGCTGTCCGCTCAGCCGATCGGCTCCCTGGCAGGAACCCGAGGCAGTTAAATGGTATGTTTTTGTTTTACATTTAAGTGTGTTCAAAATTACTCATCCAGTTGTTGTGAGAATTCTCATCATCTCGAACAGATGAAGGATATGAGAAAGTATACAAAATATATCTAATGACTGCATTCGTGTGCCAATTATATGAGAAAGGCCTTAGTAGGTAAAGCTTTTGTTGTGTCATGTCAAAGTCTGAGACATAATTATTTTATTCAGTGTAAGCCAGTGATATGTTTATTTAGTTAGCCAGTGATATGTAACATCACTGGCTAAACATGTGATGTTACATATCACATGTTACTTGTGGTCACTTTATAACCACTACCACATATAATCACTGTAGTGTTACTGTTCACGTGGTTTTCAGGCAGTGAATGCGGTAATATAATATACATTAATTATATTGCATCATTGTATAACCACTACATCAATCTCGGTAAACATTGTATTTAATATGCTTTCTCATATGATGCAGACCATTTTACATGTTTGATGCAGCAGCTGCTGTGTGACCCAACCGTAGAACACATAACCTTACCTATGCACATATCTGAGCTCGGTGAGGTAGGCTAATGCACGACACACATCAAGTGCCATGCTAGTTAAACGTTTACTGCTGATCTCATCTTCTTCGTTATGTAACGACTTGTCAGATACCAAGTGACGACGAGCCAACAGATAAGTCTTCAGGTCGCCTGTTGAAAGGGTTTATTAGTAGTAAACATAGTATGTAAATAAATAAATAAATGTTTATTCAGGTAAGGTACATACATAGTATGTAAATAAATAAATGTTTATTCAGGTAAGGTACATACATACAAGAGATTTTACTAAAATTGATAGATTTATAGATAGAGCTAGTACATACAATGCCTAAAGCCACTATTACGCAAAGCGTTTCGGGCAGAATGTAATGTAATGAGTTTTTACAAGTCCCTCTTTTTGATGTGTTTGTTGGGCATCAACTCCACAAGCATAGGAAATGTGCTTGTGGGGTTAATGGCACAGTTATTGCTTGATTGATATCTGTATTTATACTTGGATACATTAAAAAAAAAAAACAGTGTTTGCTGGCAGATAGGATGCAGATTTTTAGTTCACAACTAAGTGTATATATATATATATACTGTACTGTATACTGCATTATATTATATGGATGTCATTTAAGACATAATTTACAAAGATATTATGCTAGGTTTCCCACATTTTTTATGTGGGGGAAAAAACAATTTTAATATGTTTCATCATATATTTATTGAAAGTGATCTTCATGATGAAACATATTCAAATTGTTTTTCTCCACAAAAAAGAAGTGGGAGAACCTAGCATAATATCTTTGTAATTATGTCTTATATGCCAACAAATGTGGTACTAGCATAATATCTTTGTAATTATGTCTTATATGCCAACAAATGTGGTACTAGCATAATATCTTTGTAATTATGTCTTATATGCCAACAAATGTGGTACTAGCATAATATCTTTGTAATTATGTCTTATATGCCAACAAATGTGGTACTAGCATAATATCTTTGTAATTATGTCTTATATGCCAACAAATGTGGTACATGAGATGTGTTTCTAGGTATCATATTTTAGTCTTGCTGATACCAGCAGCAAGTATGACTGAACTAGGTTATTTGTTCTGTACATGATAGGCAAGAGCTGTTATGACCAGTTGGGCAAAAAACATGAAACCTGAAGCACAAACATCCTACAGAAGCAGGTATTTCTAGAGTTATTACTTAACAGTCTAATGATTTATATAATCTTTAGAATTATCTACTTTAGTGCATACAAAAAATAGTAGCTAACCTCTTATAATCAAGTTGCTGATGATTCTTTGGCAACACTCACACTGTAGTACTAGTCTCTTTCATGTTCTTAAATGTCACATTTCCTTTTCAAGGTTCTAGTGTGTTTATTGTTTCTTTTCTTGGGGAAAGTCCCTTCTGAAGCTAAACGCTGAGATGGTACCATCTACTAGATCACATCAGCCATAGAGTTCAATAGACCTACCAGGGTCAAGCACCAGAACCTGGCCTCCTCACAGAGGCGCAGGGAAGCGGTGACATCTGTATTCACCACCTTCAAATAAACTACTGCTGGACTCAATATATTGCAGACCAAAGCCTCAAAGCCTGCATAAAGAACTCCCCCAACTAAATAAACAAATGACCAACTTCTCATGGAACTAGCAAGACTATGTAAAAGACACATCAAACACTTTATGTAGGGCATACGTAAATCTGTGTATCTATGTATTTACGTATGTAAGTTAGCTTAGCATTTTAAAAGCACCTTCTGTGGTTGAGTGCTCAATAAACCCTTGAACTATATGTTTAACACTTCTCTAACCCTGTCCATGGAGGACAGAAGAAAATGTATATATGCTGGTTAGCATTGTAAATGTATGGCCACGTCTGTGGTAGAAAATAATAATAATAAAAAAAAAAAAAACACCTCCCCCACTTGTTTCGAAGGATGGGGAGGGGGTAGCTCACTGCCTGCGGGGGTGTGAACTCCCAGTTCTATAGCTGATGTAATGTGTACCAGGTTGCTTCTCTTCTGTGCTGGTTCCATTATTCTCCCTGCTCAGCCCAAAGTGGCTGCCCTTGGTGGCTTCCTATTTGCTCCACTCTCTGCATTTTGGCTGGCAGTATTGGCCTAGTCATTGGTTTTGTCACGTGTGCTTCCTCAGCCAGCCTTTCGCCATCTGGTCGGCGCCATGCTTGCTCTGCCCAGAAGGCATCAGACACTCGTGGTTCACGCAGGCCCTTTTGTGGTTTGCCCCTTTGATGTGGGCATTGGGGAGGTGGTCAACTCATCCGGTTTGCCAACTCCTGGTCCCACAATTTGTGGGCTTCTCGGATAATTTTGGATAATTTTTTTTTTTTTTTTTTTTTTTTTTTTTTTTTTTTTTTTTTTTTTTTTTTTTTTTTTTTTTTTTTTTTTTAGATATATACAAGAGTTGTTACATTCTTGTATAGCCACTAGTACGCGTAGCGTTTCGGGCACGTCCTTAATCCTATGGTCCCTGGAATACGATCCCCTGCCGCGAAGAATCGTTTTTTCATCCAAGTACACATTTTACTGTTGCGTTAAACAGAGGCTACAGTTAAGGAATTGCGCCCAGTAAATCCTCCCCGGCCAGGATACGAACCCATGACATAGCGCTCGCGGAACGCCAGGCGAGTGTCTTACCACTACACCACGGAGACTGCAAAGTCAGTTAGTCATTTAGTGAGTTAGTCAGTTCCTTCCCCTTCCGGAGGTTTGGGTCTTTCCAGGCAGGCTTTCTTCCTCTCTTTGCCTGCGTCAGGTCATCTTGGAGTGGGTAGCTTCCAGTATGGTCAAAACAACTAACATTGTTTAAGTGGGTTTTCTGTCTCTTCCCAGCCCAGAAATGAGACTCATTGGCCCTCAAGTTCATCGTCAACCATTCACGGCTGAACCGAATTATCCCCTACTCCTCGTCCTGGATGACCACTCTGTACCAGGTCCATCTCATACTAGGGCGGACTCTTGGATGTTTTCCCTAACTCTAGAACACGTATTGGCATGTCTCTATACATCCGAGGCCTTTTTAGCTCCTAACTGCACCCTTCTGATTCAAGTTTTATTACCTTTTCAATTATTTATGTGCCTGTTCATGACATTCTTCATTCTGTACAATTATTTATTTTTTACCAGTGTAAGCAAGTGACATGTACTACACTTCACATAACATGTCAGACAAATGTTTAAAATCTTTTTAAGAATTAAAGGTACCTGTAATGTCTGTGAAATAATGTCTGTCACTAACAGATCAAATTAACTTTTGGCTGTACATACTGTATATCAATAGAATGATGACAGTTACGATGACTATTATTATGATTATTACCATACTGTGATTACTTTTGATACCAAGAATAAAAATATGAATTACAAAATACAACATAAGGGAGCTAATTAGAGATCAAATTTCTAAAGCATTTAGGGAACACTTGACAAAGATCATCTCTGAACATGTACAAAAATGTGTGCCATACATGGGAGGAAAAAAAACCCTAGATGGATAAGAAAGTCAGTAAAGGAGCCAAGACACCTAATTTCATCCTCTAGAAGATGGTAAGAAATATAAAAGCAAATAAGACTAAAGAAACTGGAGAAAGAACCTTAAGAAGGTTCTTAAGGATAAGAACCTTATCCTTAAAGAAGGATTGAGAAAGAACAGTTTTCAAATCTATGAAAACCATGCTCCATACTGTACTTTGTCAAATACTCTCATTAATGCTAAACAATGTGCAATATTTAATGATGAAACAGAGTTGTCAAAGATTCTGCATAGACAGCTCTGTTATACAGAATCAAAATGTATAGAAAACTTATTAGAGCTTCATACCAATCTCTACTCACCATACAGCATAAACTCCATGACCATATAGATGGGCTCTTGGTGAGTACAAAGACCCAGCAGCTGGACAATGTTCTTATGGGCGAACCTTTTCATCATTTCTGCTTCACCCAAGAAGTCCAGCTTCTCCTCGACTGTTGAACCAACTTTGAGTGTTTTGACTGCTACAGCCATCCACGGTGCAGTGTCCCCAAACTGACACTCACCGCCGTATACTGTGCCAAATGCTCCTTCACCAATTGTACGATTAATGACGACTTTTTCTCTGGGCAGCTCCCACTCATCTAGAGACATGAGTTCTCCCAGTGGCCATGATTGTTGATCTGGAACCATCTTCTCATATCTGCCATTAAAAATATATTTAAGTACAGTACTACTAAATTTGGATATACAGTGCTGTATCCTTATCATACATGACTAGCATATTGATCTCTCTTATTTATATACAGTACCTATTTAACATATATACTGTATTAAACATTGTATAAATAGGCAAATTTAACATACCTCTTTTTGTACACAATGAAGAGGGCAATCAAGATGATAGCAAATACCACAAAGATAAGGACCATTACAATAACTATGGCCACATCACACGTTACATTGAGGATTTTCTTGAAAGTTTCAAATATACAAGTCTCCTCAGGTGAGCCATCACTTGGTATGCCATTTAGCCACCTATGGTTGTATTTATCCAAGCGAAGGCTATGGGGGGGAAAGATAAAATATTTAGATTAGGAAAGAGTGGTTCAAAAATTAAGCATTAATAAATGCTAATGCTATAAATGCTAGAATGCTATAAATGCTAGAATGCTATAAATGCTAAAATGAAAGGATCTTTTCTGGAGGGTCACTTAGTACCCAAAGCCAGGATTCATTAAGCCTTTACACAAACACCAACAAAACCTGTACAATTTTCTTCAGTCATAACGGCTTTGTTTACGTTTCTTAAACAGCTTACGAGCTTTGAAACTGCACATCCCAAGGCTATTATTGCTATAAACAATGCTTAGTGCTTCAGAACTCAAACTGTTTAAGAAATGTAAACAAAGCTGCCGGGATTGAGGAAAAATGTACAAGTTTTGTAAGAAGATGGAAATATTTGAATCAAGCCCTGTCTGCAAAGCTGTAGGGAATTACAATGGGCTACTGAGGTCAACCTGAGCTTACCCATGAGCCGCACCCAGAATTTGGCTCTCTGTGAGGCAAAGAGATCTTAGGGATTAAAGATCATTCCAAAACCAACAAAAAACTTACCAGAAAGTACAAGTGCATCAAAACAAGCAACAGTGAAAATAAGTTTGTAACCCCCAAGGAAAACAAGACTGAACAATTGATACTGTCGGGTAAACTCCCAGCTGTAATTTGCTTCGCTGACCAGCCCATCCTCCTAAGGTTTCCCGAAACATTAAGAAACTGTCTTACTAAAGTGCCCTTATCCTAACCCACCAGAGGACTCAAAACGGAAAACGGGACAGTATGCCAATTTCGCGAGCCGCTACCATTTTTAGTACAGTACAACAATTTTTGGCCTTGGTATACATCAAAATGCAATGTTCTATAAGGAGGACGGGTTGCACTGCCCACCACGTGGCAGCCAAGTTAGGAGGGTGGAAGGACAAAGATGAAGTACTGCCATCTACTGGTGGTTGATAGTATTAACTCAATAGGTATTTGACAGTTTGCACGAGTGATGCTGATCCTTTCTAAGAGAAAGTGAGGATCTTGCCTTAGAGAATGATTAAGTGTACTATTCTGAAAAGTGATTTTCATTAACTCAAAGCTAATATTTGTATGAAATTTAAGAAAGCATATGAAATAGAGCATTCATAACTGACAGTTATAGTAATAATTTTATTGTCAAGTACGAAAAAGGTTCATCGCTATCAATATGAGTAAATGACTTGTATAGCAGCATTAACTGTGGCATAGAGGTAGGGCCTCGTAGCCTGGTGGATGTAGGGCCTCGTAGCCTGGTGGATAGCGCGCAGGACTCGTAATTCTGTGGCGCGGGTTCGATTCCCGCACGAGGCAGAAACAAATGGGCAAAGTTTCTTTCACCCTATGCCCCTGTTACCTAGCAGTAAAATAGGTACCTGGGTGTTAGTCAGCTGTCACGGGCTGCTTCCTGGGGGTGGAGGCCTGGTCTAGGACCGGGCCGCGGGGACACTAAAAGCCCCGAAATCAACTCAAGATAACCTCAAGATAGATACTACTACACTGAATGGTCTATTCTAAAATAAATTCACCACAATATCTATGGAAGAAATATGACACTTTTAGAGTGGCATACGTCCTCGGCTGATACCTAGGGGACCCAAGTTAAATTTTCAAGTGAGACACAAATAGCTGGGTTGGTTTCCTTTCACCTGATGCCTCTGCTCGCCTAGTAGTAAACAGATACACCAGTCTCCGTGGTGTAGTGGTAAGACACTCGCCTGGCGTTCCGCGAGCGCTTTGTCACGGGTTCGTATCCTGGCCGCGGAGGATTTACTGGGCGCAAATCCTTAACTGTAGCCTCTGTTTAACTCAACAGTAAAATGTGTACTTGGATGAAAAAACGATTCTTCGCGGCAGGGGATCGTATTCCAGGGACCATAGGATTAAGGACCTGCCTGAAACGCTACGCATACTAGTGGGTCTACGAGAATGTAACAACTCTTGTATATATCTCAAAAAAAAAAAAAAAAAAAAAAAAAAAAAAAAAAAAAAAAAAAAAAAAAAAAAAAAAAAAAAAGATACTTGGGAACTAGGCAACTGTTGTGGGCTACATCCTGAAAGGGTCAGTAGTAGGCCTAGGGGAAAGTTGATAAGCCTACATACAGGCTTCTTGTCTACTGTGCTACAATACAATGTTGGCATATATAATACTCTGAAGCATTAGGGTATTAATGCTTCAGAGTATAATAGCATTAAAGTATTATATATGCATAACAAAAGCATATACTGTATATATATAATCCTCTGAAGCATTAAAATGATCTCATTACAAGGCATATACATAAAATAGGTGAACTTACACACCACTTGAAGTGCTTGTAGGAACATATGTTCCAATAATTTCATAATTTCCACCTTTCCCATTATCTTCAGCTATAAACTGCATAATGTTTATTGTGGTTTTTTGAGAGCGAACATTCTGGAAGTTTATGAGCCCGGAGACACCGCTGAAGTCTGTTTCTCGTATAAGTTCAACAAATCGCCTGGAATGTACAACAGAGATTAATGATCAAGAAACACAATGTAATACATTCCAATTCAGTATTAAAACACACACACACACACACACAACAAAATTACCTACATAAGACATACTTAGGATACTAAGAATTTGTGTATGTACACATTCACATTGCAAAACCAATGGGTAATCTTGAGGTTATCTTGAGATGATTTCGGGGCTTTTTTTAGTGTCCCCACGGCCCGGTCCTCGACCAGGCCTCCACCCCCAGGAAGCAGCCCGTGACAGCTGACTAACACCCAGGTACCTATTTTACTGCAAGGTAACAGGGGCATAGGGTGAAAGAAACTCTGCCCATTGTTTCTCGCCGGCGCCTGGGATCGAACCCAGGACTACAGGATCACAAGTCCAGCGTGCTGTCTGCTCGGCTCCCTTTAATTAGCATGATTAATTAGAAGTTAATTAATTAGAACAATTAATTAGAATTTTAATTAATTAGCATGTTTGTCAAGTTATTTTTCCTTTCACTTATTTTCTCCTTAACATTTCTAACAGATGGGGCAGTTTGAAAAAAAATTAGTTCTAAACAATGAAACAAAACAAATTCAATTAAAGGATTAAACAATTAATCAAAGAATTAAACAAAAGATCAGATTATGTTGCATAATAACACAGTAAGTATAACATGGGATATTTTAATTGTAATTGAAATCACACGATAAATTACCCAGTTGTGGAATTAATGCTAATGACAATCAGAGTAATTACTCAAAATACCAGACATAAGGGAAAATTGTAACAAGGTGTTATTTCCATAGGGATTTTCAATTTAGCTAAAAAATACAAAATACCAGCATTGAATGTAGTGAAACGCCATTTTCTGGGCGAGTCCCGGAGGCTCCCCGGAGCTATCCATGGCTGATAGGATACCCTAATTATTTTGCATCAGTCGATGTGGGAGGAGTTCTAGGCCTACCGGGGACCACGAGCCAGAACCTGGCCCCCCTCACAGAGGCACGAGGAGCAATGACCCATAGAAATGCACATGTGATTTGGAGCATTCTATATCTGCCATCGACCGGGACAGGCACCCAGAAAGGTAAGCGCCACAAAACAAACCCCTATTCTGGTTAACAACGAAAATTGTCAAACGAGTGGACAGAACTCCCCAAAAGAAAAACAAGCATGACGTGACACGAGGTGTGCCGCGTGTCTGCGCAGCTTCCCCCTCCCTGGGAGGGGGAAGGGGGAGCCCCAGACCCATCACACTGGTAATCCTCACCCCAGTTCTGAGGCTGGATATAAAAAAAAATGCCAACCAGAGGGAGGGAGGGTTGCCAGGGAGCCTCCGGGACTCACCCAGAAAATGGTGTTTCATTACATTCAACGCTGGTTTTCTCGGGGTAGCCCCTACGGCTCCCCTGGAACTACTTCACCAAAGACACGAAAAAGAAAAAAGGGGACTTATCCGGGAGGTGGTCGATGCTCTACTCCTCAACTCGAAGTTGAGACAACGGGCTGCAGCCGCCGATCCAAAGCAACACAGGCCCAACTGGGCCCAGGAACGTTCACAAGGTAGCGTACTGCCTGGACTATCCCCGTTCGACCGCCAAAAACCCCGTGCCCGGATGTCAGCTCAAGACATATTGCCAAAGACGGCAGCAAGCAGCAGCAAACTTACGAATGTCATGGGCACGGGGATAGACTGCAGGCTGGCTGAATTTAATTACCCTGCAGACATCCTGAGAGACCCAAACCCGCGAACAGGGAAGAAGGGAAACCGGATCAACCCAAAGCTGCCCCCGGACACATACGCCGTGGCGCGCAAATAACGGCGGAGGGCCACAACTGGACACAACACATGATGGACCCCCAGCTGTACCAACCAAGCATCAACAACCCAAGGACCCCTCCAGAAGGCAGCAGTCTTATTCGTCGCCAGAAAAGAAGGAGACGGCTGTAAATGTATATACTTATGACCACGACCAAAAGAGCAAAAACCTCTGCGCCGGAGAAGAGCATGAAGCTCCGCCACACGACCCCCAGAGGCTAATGCCAACAGAAAAAAAGAGCCATAGCAAAACAATCCTGAACCGAAGGGGCATAACAAACCAAAGAGAAGAAAGATAGGAGAGCACTCTGTCCAAAGACCAGGACGGCTCAGGCGGCGCATGAGCAGACCGGAGGTGAAGCAACGCATGAGACAGCTTGCGAAGCGGCGCAGAAGTAACATCGATACCGAAAGCAAGCTGTAGCGGCTCCGCCAGCACCACACGATATGAGGCGACAGTATTGGGCATAAGATGACGGTCCTGGAACAGCAACCAAGAGAGAAAGGACAACACCAACCGAACCGAAAGTGAAGAGCAATGGCGAAGGGACAAAAAGAACCGCAAGGAAAGCCAGGAAACCTCATACTGCCGCTGAGAGGAAGCCCACAGGTGGGAAACCAGCAAGGAAGTCACCTGAGCACCTGGGGTGGGGATCGCCAGCGCGAGGGGTCTGGTATAGATATAGAATGATATAAAATGCTCCAAATCACACGTGCATTTCTATGGGTCATTGCTCCTCGTACCTCTGTAAGGGGAAGCCAGGTTCTGGCTTGTGGTCCCCAGTAGGCCTAGAACTCCACCCACATCGACTGATGCAAAATAGTTAGGGTATCCTATCAGCCATGGATCACTCCGGGGAGCCGTAGGGGCTCCCCCCAGAAAAAATTATATATGCATGAAAGAATTAATGGTTAATATTGTACAGTATAGTATAGACAGACAAATTAACCTTCAAACAGCTTGGCTAATTAAAAATGATTTAATTAGTTTTCCATTTAATTAATTAATTAATTTTTTCTCGCACTTTCTTTCTCACACTCTTTTCTCTCACTCATGCTCTTCTCTCTCCCCCATGCTCTTCTCTCCCTTTCTCCCTCACGCTCTTCTCTCTCTCCCTCACGCTCTTCTCTCTCTCCCTCACGCTCTTCTCTCTCTCCCTCACGCTCTTCTCTCTCTCCCTCACGCTCTTCTCTCTCTCCCTCACGCTCTTCTCTCTCTCCCTCACGCTCTTCTCTCTCTCCCTCACGCTCTTCTCTCTCTCCCTCACGCTCTTCTCTCTCTCCCTCACACTCTTCTCTCTCTCCCTCACACTCTTCTCTCTCTCCCTCACACTCTTCTCTCTCTCCCCCACGCTCTTCTCTCTCTCCCCCACGCTCTTCTCTCTCTCCCTCACGCTCTTCTCTCTCTCCCTCACACTCTTCTCTCTCCCTTCCGCTCTCCTCTCCATAGTATCTCTTGAAATTTATATTACCAATAAATCATGAACATAAAAATTCCACAGATAATAATTTATTAAATACTACATAACTGTTGGTGCACAACTTACTTGTTGGTTCTGTCACTATGCAGATTGGAAACATGGGTACGATCTTCTTTCAGAAGTTTATCCAGGGCATAGGCATACGCCCATACAGCATCATATGTGTAGCCAGCGTATTCTGCAGGTTCGTGTTGATATCTGTTTTATGAAAACGTTTTGTGATATCTGTTTTGCCCGAAGCGCTATGCGTGCTAGTGGCTTTACAAGAATGTTAATTCAACTTATTTTCTATATTCTCTGTTAACCCCCAATGTAACTTCTTGTATATAAATAAATAAAAAATAATAAAATAAAATAAAATTATTCAATTTTATTACAAACAAGCCATCTTTTATGAGAACAAAAAATTTGTCTGAAATGCATTATAATCAAGGAGAGAAATCTGTTTACCTATAGAGTATTGTATTAACAAATGTTTGAAATATTGTTACGTAAAGTATGGTGACAAATAAACACAGACACTAAGATACTATATATATATATTTGGTCGAATATACAGAAGTACACCGGTGATACTTTGGTGTGAGTTGAGCGCACTGAGCGTCGGTACAGTATCTCGCAAGTGTCTGCTCGAGACCACACTTGAAAGTAGACTCTGGTTTATGTTTCCTATCCTGCTGCTTATATGCCCGGGCAACTCCTCACCGTATTGCCCGGGCAACGCCTCACCTCATTCATCTCCAAAGGTTGACAGGAAAATTAACAATGCATTTGGAGCGAGTATATTATTGGATAATCTACTCGCTACACCTGTCTGAATTCTACAGCGCTACATTATATATGAAACAACTACATGTTGATAGATTCTAGAAATTAACCTATGTATTTGACTCAAGGTGAGCAATCAATTGTCAATTTCCCTTAAAAGCAAAGTGCTATACTGTAATTGCAATTCTAATGGTGAAAGACTGTGGAGTCACTGACAAAATACTGGGATGGACAAATCAATGATCATAACAATGTAAAAGTAATGGAAACTGCAGAAAGACGGTGTACCCCATCTGCGGCAGTTCAAATTTATTCCCAGTCGTTCTCACTTTCGTATTTGTCCAATCAATGCTTGAAGCTTTCCATCGCTTTTGCTTCTTTGAAGAGACTTAGTAACTTGTTCTGCATATTCTCACCCTATTTCCAAACTAGGGTGTTTCTGCCTATTTCATCTTTAAATCTAAATATTCCAATCTGAATCCACTGTTTTGGGGGTTATATTTTCAGAACTGTAAGACTGCCCATGCTCTGCATAGTATTAGAGAATGTGAATTTGGTGGTGTAATTACCTAAATGTAATTACAGGTAACTACAATTGCCTAAGTGTAATTATAGGATAAGACCTTTACTTATTTTATCAATATTATGTGGTGTTGTGGCTGCTAGCTGCACATCAGTGCTGTGAACTCCTGCTGTATGCACCAGCCGTGGTCACTCTCAGTACTCAGACTCTCACAGCCAGGAGAGATGCAGACGATTTTTTTTCGAAATGGCATCTGTTTACTAGAGCCCTGAAGAATATGATGTGAGCCCCATGCACGTGCAGTAGTTTTAAATCTTATGCTATACCTATAAACAACCCTGCCTGCAATGCGTAGTGTAAGGGTTAAATCCTCTGCACCTTTGCAGAAGACCTTCTGAACTGGTGGGAGTTTCAAAATGGCTTTCCTACAAAGGTCCCTTCCTTACAGCATGACCACTTTGGCCCAAATTTGCCTGCTTCTCCAGGCTGGAGCCTAGATGGTGTCCTAGAAACCTCAAGCATGCATACCGACATTTCCTTATTCATACAAGGTTCAAAAACTGGTTAGGTTTATCTGTTGGCCATCAGGCTTACTGCTTCAGGGTTCTTCCCTTTGGCTTGAACCTGGCCCCCAACTCCATGTATCTACCAGGCTGGTGCAGAGCATTGTGGCCCGGCTGCATTTGTTACAGGTTTATGTGTTGACCTACCTCGACAACAGGCTAGTGTGGAACCCCAGTCAGTCCACGTGTCACCTCGCCAGGGATCTGGTTCTTTTCCAGCTCACCTGATTCAAGTTCCTTCTGAACTAGTGGAAGCTGGGCCTCGTTTGGGAGACTCGGCTGACATCTCATTCCCTGCCTTCAGCGGCTTTGGTCTACCTGCAACTTTGTCACCATCTGGTGTTGGACCAGCCCTGGGTGACTCGCTGGTTGGTTGAGTGGTTGTGCAGGAACCTGAACTTTGTCTGCAATGTCTTCCTCCTGGGCAGGGATTTTGCTTCATGCGACGTCAGGTTTCTCCTGATTCACCCCTTCCGCCACTCTCAGGACCAGCGGATCTGGGCCCCACCTGCCCTTCATCTGCTCTTCCTTCACCGAAATCCCCTTCAGATTTTGTTGGTTGACCCCATTTCTTATCTTCTCTGTTCCACGGCTCGCTTTTCTAAGGTTGTTTCCAGTGTTATCAAGTCTAGTCAACCTGCGGTCTATCCTCAGGTCCACGATGATTTCACACACGTGGCTTTAGCTGCTGTCTTTTCTAACATGTCCTGGGTTGATATTTTGGCTCAGGGGGTTTTGGTGTTCTAACAGGGGTGCTGGCAGCTCAGTATTTGGTTACTGTTCCTGGTCCCAGTCGATCATGTGTGACATTGGGCCACTGTCGCACGGCCTGGGTTCTCATCATCATCTTAGTGTCTGCCTCCTCTCCTCTCCTTGTTGCTAAGTCCCTTTCTTGTTCCTTAGGATTAGTTAGGTTGAGGGAGCCATCAGGGGCTCTCTCTAGAAACCCAGCTTTAAATCTAATGAAACGCCTCTTTCTGGAGAAGCTCCAGTGGCTGCCCAACATCCCTCCCTCCAGGTTCATCAGCTCATCGTGGCTTTGTTCATCAGCTCATCGTGGCTTTGTTCATCAGCTCATCGTGGCTTTGTTCATCAGCTCATCGTGGCTTTGTTCATCAGCTCATCATGGCTTTGTTCATCAGCTCATCATGGCTTTGTTCATCAGCTCATCATGGCTTTGTTCATCAGCTCATTGTGGCTTTGTTCATCAGCTCATCGTGGCTTTGTTCATCAGCTCATCGTGGCTTTGTTCATCAGCTCATCGTGGCTTTGTTCATCAGCTCATCGTGGCTTTGTTCATCAGCTCATCGTGGCTTTGTTCATCAGCTCATCGTGGCTTTGTTCATCAGCTCATCGTGGCTTTGTTCATCAGCTCCAGAACTAACCTGGTAAGCTGGCTGGGAGCCTGGGCCAGGCTGCCTGCTGGTGGTAATTGGTATTAATGAGTTTCCAGCTCATTGGGTGAATTCCATGCTGTGTGAATCATTTGCAGAGTTGTCCGACAGTTTTGAGGCTTCAATTACTGTTAACCCTTCCGTTGTCTGTAAAGCTGAGCCGACTTTCTAATGCAGCATGCTCATGCACTAGGTCCTATGCAGCATGCTCATGCACTAGGTCCTATACAGCATGCTCCTGCACTAGGTCCTATGCAGCATGCTCATGCACTAGGTCCTATACAGCATGCTCCTGCACTAGGTCCTATACAGCATGCTCCTGCACTAGGTCCTATGCAACATGCTCATGCACTAGGTCCTATACAGCATGCTCCTGCACTAGACACAAAGAGTTTATTTTTTTTGTTTATATTTATTTACTATAGTCTTGGTTACAGCAATTTGTTGGTAATGTAGTGAAGTGTTGTAGTAGTTGAGACAAAGCCTGGAGCAGGGCAGAGAGCCGAGCGAGGCCAGGAATAGGCAGCCGAGCGAGGCCAGGAATAGGCAGCCGAGCGAGGCCAGGAATAGGCAGCCGAGCGAGGCCAGGAATAGAGAGCCGAGCGAGGCCAGGAATAGAGAGCCGAGCGAGGCCAGGAATAGAGAGCCGAGCGAGGCCAGGAATAGGCAGCTGATTGAGGCCAGGAATAGAGAGCTCGGAAACATCCCGCTGATACACTGTCCCCCACACATTCCGGTGACGAAAACAGAGTAAAACTTTAATCAGTTAACATTAATCTGTTTGTAACACTTTTGCTCCTTCCTATATTTTAACATTAAGTTCTAAAGCATCAAAAACTTACTGTTGATAGTATTCCTCTCTCCACTGCCTGACAGTCTTGTTTTCATGGTAAACAAAGTCATCATCGGCGTAATAAGCGTAGCCCAAGGACATGTGACGGTCTATGGCCTAAAAGAAAACACAATTATATAATGTTACACAGGAAGCTTTTTCAGTGGTAAAGATACTCTGTAAAGCTTTCAGTACAGTAGGTTACCTTGCGATGATTTCGGGGCTCAACGTCCCCGTGGCCTGGTCCTCGACCAGACTTCCAGTACATCTCAATCATTATATTCTTTGGATACAATATTTTCTATGGATTGTCTTGCAAACAATACCACCAAAATTCTAACCAATACATATCCTAATGTGTTCCATCACACATGGTTTTATCCAAATGGATTTTCTTTAACTACTTGCATTTTTAAGCAGTTTTGCATCAAATTCTTAACTCATTTTGTGTTCAATAATTATAGGTATCTGCATTCCTTAGTAAATGAATAAATATATTATGATTTTTAACAATGATAAATATATTAATGCCAAATCCTTAGAGGATGTGATTAAATTGTCATCTAAGAGTGATTTATCTCAACTTTAACATTACAGTACTAATAATTGATAGAAACCTATCAAGTAGAAATGACAAATGTACACAACAATTGACACATTTACACACGCATGCTGTATTAGCAAAATTAACCAGTGTACTGTGCAGAGTGCCCTAAGGCGCTCTGAGAGTTGTGCTATTTTTTTTTGTAATTAGGCTATATTTTAATGCAGACGATGAGTCACAACAACATGGCTAAAGTAAGTTGACCAGACCACACTAGAAGGTGAAGGGACAACGACGTTTTGGTCTGTCCTGGACCATTCTCAAGTCAAATGTGTTTATATTTTAATGTTTTTTTTAATGTTTCATTACTCTGTGTTTTGAAATGAAAATGGAGACGTTTGGAAACATTTTGACATAAACCTTACCTGAACGTTTATAAAAACAACAAAAATATGTCCTTAACAATTGAACTAACAAGTTTTTGCCAAAATCAGGTGCGCAGTGCAGGGGTTAAAGAATGGTACACGCAAGAGTACAGCACCTACATATAACAAGAGAACATATATGTAGCACTGGACTGGCACACTGGATAATGTGTGAGTATTGCTCAGTCAGTAAGGTTAAGCATAGTTGAATCTGGTAAGTAAATGTAGCACTGGACTGGCACACTGGATAATGTGTGAGTATTGCTCAGTCAGTAAGGTTAAGCATAGTTGAATCTGGTAAGTAAATGTAGCACTGGACTGGCACACTGGATAATGTGTGAGTATTGCTCAGTCAGTAAGGTTAAGCATAGTTGAATCTGGTAAGTAAATGTAATTTACAATGTAGACATAGTACTGATCTTAGCTATGGGAACTCTGACAAAACCAACTGCTTCATATCCATGACAAGGAATACCCACATTTGTATCTCCAATTAAAAAAGTAAGAAATGCCTTCAATGAGCTCAAACCATAATAACGATGACAGTTTATAATGATATAACAAAATTTAATACAATGAAAATAACAAGATAACTTATTGTGTATCAACAATTTAAACATTTATATACAGACTACTGAAAATTATAAGATATGACTTAAAGAAATTCACACAAAGTTCATTCAAAAAGTATTTAAACTAACTGCAAAGTTTATCATAACAATGTAAATTAAAAATGTTCAGAGTATAAATCTGCATAGAAAAACTGACCTCTAACATCATGGAGGTATTACACGGAATCTTTTTCTTGTCTTTTTCAGAATAAAGTTGTGTGTCGTACCAATTACTGGTGAACCAGCGTGGCAGGAACCATACATAGTTATGGCGGGCTGTCATGTTGAGGTGGTAGGCCTCGCACATCACCTCACGGGCCGTGCTTGCGTAAAAATCACCAATGATGATCTTAAGATTTTTGGCTTTCAGCTTCATAAGATGCTGCATGAGAGACAAATAAGTCAAGCATAAACCAACCTCTTCATAAATACATGATGAAGCTCAATTAAATACTTTATGTATATGTGTAGTCTACATAAGTGCAGTTATACTTTTTTCAACTTAAAGTACTGTAACCATTTTATTTAGTTTTCGAAAAATATATGCAAGCCAATTAAAGTGGCTACACATAATATAAGGTGTCAAGCTGATCACTTGGTTATTTCATAGGGCAAGCTTCCACTTGCTTGTCAGGCTTGTCCCCTAGGGCTTGTCCCCTAGGGCTTGTCCCCTAGGGCAAGCTTCCACTTGCCTAGGGGACATTGTACACTCCAGTCTAGGCCTTTTCATCTCCCACCCCACAGTGGGGATCTTTTCAAAACATCACCTCCAGGCAGCAGGGTGATGATAGGGAGAATTTGAGGAATTCTAAACATTCCTGAATTACCACCAAATGGTATGTTTCACTAAAGTATACCAAAAACACATTTCATGCAATATTTGACAGTACAGGTACAGTACCACAAAATGGTACCTTTGCTATCTCTGCTACAATAATCCTAACTAATAATTATGACATTTTAATTCCATGCCTTACTGTTACCCAACAACAGATGGCAGCAACAGTCTTTTTCACAGAGTTATTCAGAGAGAGAGAGCAACATTTAGCCCAGAGCATTATGCCATATGCTCTGGGCTCTCTCCGTGACTGTGACTCTGTGACTGTGTTACTCTCTGTGACAAACTCATCCCTTGTGGTAACAAGACACAATAATCATTGCATATAGATTGTTCAGTTTTGTCCATGTGAATCAAGCTGAAGGAGGGACTCGAGGACTGGAGATTCGGTATCGTATATTTAAACAGTGTCCAGTAGTGATTATGGTTATTAGACGTGCATAACATTTCAGTTGACAAAGATCATTCAGGTTTCAGAGAAAGATAATACCTACAATAACATTAATAGATTTACATTATGTAAATACATTAATGTGTTTATGGTACTCTCAATGACCAGGAAATTCTCATTTCACCTTTTCAGGTTATATTGGAGTAATAATGAGTCAACGCACTACATAATTCGAATCTCCTAGTAACTCGGGCAAAATAAGACTCAAGCAAGACCATCTTGTGATTTGTACAAAATGAGAATTATGAGGCAGTCGAATTACCTACCTATGGTAGCCAGCAAGGAAATTTACATTTCACAATTGATAAAAGGGGCAGAGTATTATTTAGCAGTATCTTAGATGTCAATTTTTGTTTGAAAAAGACTTTTGAATGCATGAATGAATGCATTTGAATGCATTTGAATGCATTTGAATGCATGAATGAATGCATGAATGAATGCATTTGAATGCATGAATGAATGCATTTGAATGCATGAATGAATGCATTTGAATGCATGAATGAATGCATTTAAATGCATGAATGAATGCATTTGAATGAATGAATGAATGCAGTTGAATGCATGAATGAATGCAGTTGAATGCATGAATGAATGCATTTGCATGCATGAATGAATGCATTTGAATGCATGAATGAATGCATTTGAATGCATGAATGAATGCATTTGAATGCAGTGGTACGTAACTTTTGATGGCCATCCAGGGGTGGATTTATATTGTGTCTCCGTACCTCCCTTCACCTGGTGCCTGACACTATCATTTTGAAAAGATTCCCACTGCATAAGAGACAAGAAGATGCACCTGGCCAGACTGGAGTGTGTAATGTTCCTGTCAATGCAGGATGTTGTCTTAGGGAGCAACCAAGCACCTTAAGACTCAAGAAATAAAACTTTTCTTTTCATTAAATTGCTAAGAAACAATTTGCTGACACTGAAACAAAATACAGTACTGTATTTAAACAAAATTTAATCAGATTCTGTATTATATGTACTGTATCTGTTAAAAAAAAGTTAACAATATTATAACTTGTTATAATGATATCAAATTGGCTAAAAATAACCAGTGGGTTACGAAGCTAACATCAAAACTTACATCCGTCATGTTTCTATCAGAATTTTTATGAAAATTGCGATTTTCAAGGTCCATTGTAGTGGGCAGCATGTTGCGTAACAAATTAAGATACTTGCTATACTTGTTGGAATCTTCTGTCAGCGTTGCCGCCTTCTTCCACTCAAATAACTTGAATAAGTCAAAGTACACATACCTGACAGATAAAAAAATTTAAGTAGCATTTAGAGTCTTATATTATTTGTTAGTGGTATATTGTTTATGTTGATATATTTTAAATTGCAGGCGATGAGTCACAATAACGTGGCTAAAGTATGTTGATCAGACCACACTAGAAGGTGAAGGGACGACGACGTTTCGGTCCGTCCTGGACCATTCTCAAGTCGATTGTGTCAAGTCACAATCGACTTGAGAATGGTCCAGGACGGACCGAAACGTCGTCGTCCCTTCACCTTCTAGTGTGTGGTCAGGTGAACATATTTTAAATTGTTTGCTTCTACATACCCATACATCTTGTTTTCTGGAATGGTTCTGAAAAAGTGTGGATATTTTTCATGGTCGCTGAAGATTGCTCCCTCCGCACTGTATGACAGCACTACAGTATTGAAGGTCTTGGCCACACCCGCGAGAGGCTCCACAGTTTCAGAACAAGCAGGACCTAAACACAACAAAAAGTATAATATAATGCTCATCACACACAGAGATCACACTAACGTGATGCATCAAATGAACAAATCCACAAGGGCCGTGACGAGGATTCGAACCTGCATCCGGGAGCATCCCAGACACTGCCTTAATCGACTGAGCTACGACAGGGTAAAAGGGTTGAAACCGAAGTTCTACTGAACTTACTGGATCCCGTAGCCTCTCTGAGGCACAAACCAGGCTTTTACACAACCCCTCCCTGCACCCGAGCTATGTCAATAGGCCGTTCTCCCTCTTCGCCCTTACATCAACACACGTCGATTAAGGCAGTGTCTGGGATGCTCCCGGACGCAGGTTCGAATCCTCGTCACGGCCCTTGTGGATTTGTTCATATAATACTCATCATTTAAAATCAATTATGATAATGATACAGATAAATTAAAACTAACCATAATGTGAAAATACAGTACAGACAGGAGTTTAAAAATGATGAGACTGATATATTAATACAGTACTGTATTTACAAAATGAGTGATGGTAACTGTTTATGAAGTACTGTATTCAGAGTGATGATAAATTATTTTATACATTAGCATACATTTTTTTGCATACCGTACTGTGCTCAAATGAATGTGTGTAGAGTGTATACCCGCCAAACACACACCGAAACTACGACGTTGGTACAACGTTCGAACAAGTTTTAACACCACCTAACCAGTTATAACAACCAATATAGCAAGTTGTAACAACGTTCTAATACGTCATAAACACGTTAAGCGAAGATGTAACAACTTTATTACTAGTTGTAACAAGCGGAAAATAGAGACAGTTTCGGTTTGTGTTTCCAGGGTATGAAGCTAACTACAGTGCTGTATAAAGAAAATTATAAAATTACAACTTTCGTAATTTAAATCAAACTGTATTGAGAACAGTTATATTATTTTCTGGAATTTGTTTTAAGATATGTACTAACCAAGAACTCCTATCATTTGCTCGAAGGTCAGGTGACTCGAGTCCTTCCGCACGTAACGGATAAACGCTGTAAGTACATCTTCACTCTTGCAGCCACCATTCTGATTCAACACGTCAATCTCAAAATCGTGCAAAACTTTATCATTTTTATTAACGTTATTGTAGGCAAGTTCAGCAGCTGAAATAAAATATGTATGTTAATAAAGGTACTGTATATAAGTAAAGAAACTTGCTCAAAGTTTAACACTCTACATCAGTCATTTTATAACACTGGGAAATAAAATGTGTTAAGTTAACAAGATTTTCCAGTCGACTTACCATTAACCAGAGTATGGCTGGAAAACCCAATATTTCTCTCACTACTCATTGGGAATATTCCTGCAATCCACAAGATTGTTTTTGCATAATAGTCATGTGATAGCCAATTCTTCCAGACAACCGTATCATCACTGCGGTTGCGCTGTAGCCACTCACAAGCAATATCCTCTATAACTTGACTTGTTGGCTGAAGAGCAGTGGAGGAGTTGGTGCTGCAGCTAGAAGCACGGTCCCCATACATAGATAACAGCTCTTGGTAATCTTCTTCACGCAGATAAAATCGTCTTATTGACTGAAATTATATTATTTAAAGTACTGTAGTTCCTTGACTTGATTTAGTACATAATAATATACAAGTATTTTGAATACAGTAAAATGTTGCTAATATGATGCAGATAATAACAGTGATGCCCAAAATTCCCATCATGAATACTAAAAGCTCCATTTACTAATTACCTCCACAGCAACTTTTGCAGCATTTAGTAGTTCTCCCCATATAAATTTCTTCATTGTATGCAGTTCATAATTGCACAAATATGAATCTTCACCTCGAAAGCTTAAGCAAGAAGGAAAAGAAACTGGCATGAATTCATCTAAATTGGACAGCAAGTTTGGCCACCAGTCAAAGAATACAATGGGCTTAGAACCCCGAAAAGTGCAAAGGAACCGAGGGTCAAGATTTGGTCCTATCCAAGCAATGCGAACGAACAGCTTCTCCTCGTCCACTTGATCCTTCAGAAACTTGGAATATGTATCTGCAAGAAAATCACAAAAAAAAAAATCAATATACTGTATATTCACACACTTAATTTACACACAAAAAAAAATTAATATGATAACCGACAAAATACTTCATACAGTTGTGTACGTGTGATTTGACTTACTGAAGCTGCCGACAAATAGAGTAGCACAGTGGGTATCGTTGTTGCAGTGTGACGGTGTATAGATGCCTTGATGACAGTAGTCAGCGTCACAGTAATACCTGTTGTTGTGAAGAACTATCAGAATATGGTTCTGCAACACACACTGGTATTATAAAATGAACAAATCCACAAGGGCCATGACGAGGATTCGAACCTGCGTCCGGGAGCATCCCAGACACTGCCTTAATTGACTGAGCTACGACAGGGTTAAAAGGGTTGAAACCGAAGTTCTACTGAACTTACTGGATCCCGTAGCCTCTCCGAGGCACAAACTGGTATTATAGTGAACTATCCCTGTGAGGTGGTCATTCCATGACATATATAGTGAAGTCGTATCAATGGACAGTAAACATAAATAAATAAACTATCTCAGGGAAAACTATCCTGCATCAGAGAGTTTATTTCACACGTAAGTTAGTTATGAACCATAAAACAGTTCATTAAAAATATATACATATACTTTGAGTTTGTGAAAAGCTGCTTTCTAAGCAAGTCATGTTGCCACTTTAATTGAAGCAACATAACTTGCTGATACTTTGAATTCCTTGAAAATGAACAATCATTTTGAATACAGTACCTTGAAAATGAACAATCATTTTGAATACAGTACCTTGAAAATGAACAATCATTTTGAATACCTTGAAAATGAACAATCATTTTGAATACCTTGAAAATGAACAATCATTTTGAATACCTTGAAAATGAACAATCACAACAGACATTGTGATACTTTGTTCATTTTCAGATTCTCTATGACACCAACTCTACAAGAACTAAGAATAGTATATGACTCCATTGAAGAATTATGTAGAGATACTCGAGAGTCATTGGCAACAGAATCAAAACAATTAGAATAACAAATATTTAAAATGGTCTCCTCTTCTGCTCACAGTAGTTAAGCTCCGCTGACATCACAAACATAACCACCAAAGAGAGCTCGAACAATTCTAACTACCAATAAATGAAAACCTAATACAGTATCCTTAATCCCCATCTATTGGCAGAAGTGCCATAAGGCACTTCTGCCAATAGGGGAGCCGGTCGGCCGAGCGGACAGCACGCTGGACTTGTGATCCTGTGGTCCTGGGTTCGATCCCAGGTGCCGGCGAGAAACAATGGGCAGAATTTCTTTCACCCTATGCCCCTGTTACCTAGCAGTAAAATAAGTATCTGGGTGTTAGTTAGCTGTCACGGGCTGCTTCCTGGGGGTGGAGGCCTGGTCGAGGACCGGGCCGCGGGGACACTAAAATGCCCCGAAATTATCTCAAGATAACCTCAAGATAAGGTAGGCCCTGGCCATCTACACCCACCTCTCGTACATCCAAGTTCACGGTAGAACACAAAGTTTTGGAGTTCCAAATAATCTCTGAAGAATATCTACTAAATGCTACTGAAGAATTGAAATTCACCTCCACGAAGCAAAATCATAGTGAGCACCTAATTACAGAACACAAGCCTTCATGATCACGAGTTACCAATGAGAAGGGATGAACTTTTAACCAAGAATGTGGTATTCTGAAGAATCATAAAGTTTGAATGCCCCAACCTAATGAAACAAAAACATTCGACCTTAGAAAAGAATGGTCACTCATTGCCTCGAAACAACACAAGAAGGAAACAGTCTTTAATGTTAGAATTGTAAAAATAGGAGAAACTCTACTCCTGTACATATAAACTTTCAGTAGACTAATCAAGCTCAATATCTAAGTGGATAGGATCTACTAGCTCTACTCTGTAAGACTACATGGTATTGGGCTCATAACTGAAAGTCCCAGGATCAATCCTCATGACAAGACAGAAATGTCTGGCCAACATTTCCATTCACCTGATGCCTCTGTTCACCTAGCAGTATGTAGGTACCAGGTATTTAGGCAACTGTTGTAGGTTGCATCTTGGAATAGGCAAAAGGGGGGATCTCTATAAACCTAAGTAGAAGCTTCCTGTCTCTGACAGTGGGAACCAAACTATTGTATGGTTCGAATCCTCATCACATTCGAACCAAACTATTGTACCTGCTTTTGCTATTCCTGCACGCTTGTATAGTAATTACCTAAGTAGTTACAGGATGAGAGCTACGCTTGTGGTGTCCCGTCTTCCCAGCACTCTTTGTCATATAACGCTTTGAAACTACTGACGGTTTTGGCCTCCACCACCTTCTCCCCTAACTTGTTCCAACCGTCTACCACTCGGTTTGTGAAAGTGAATTTTCTTATATTTCTTCGGCATCTGTGTTTAGCTAGTTTATATCTATGACCTCTTGTTCTTAAAGTTCCAGGTCTCAGGAATTCTTCCCTATCGATTTTATCAATTCCTGTTACTATTTACTAATAACTAGTTACTAGTGTGAGGTTTCGAATGTTTTGCAGGTGTTTTTGGGCGGTCCTTCTTTTGAGCCTGTTTGCTCCTGCTCTTTCCCAGGACATAGGATTGATGCAGCTTCATGCCTAGTTGCCTTTGCTGAATGCAGTCCTCATGGCAGATGACTTGTGAGCTCACTCGCACTTGGCTGGGGTCATGCATTTTCTTGGCTTCTTGGAGCTTTTTTCTGACTGGCTTCCTGATTGATTCACTTGGCTTGGGGTCAAATGCAGGTGCCTTGTTGGTGGGTGTGACAGCTTCAGTGGCTTTGCCCAAGCTGTGAATGACCATGCTTAGAGAGGCAGTTGCTGCATTCTACTCTGCCTGTTTTGTGTGTTGGTAAAGTCAACACATGTTGGTAAAGTCAAATTGACTAACCATAGGTTAATCAATCTTCAGATAGCGAGAGAATCTATCGAAACTGATGCTATTTGACTTGGTCCTTGGCCCTTTTGTCAGCTTCCTCATTTTCACCTCTCCTCTAACCAGAGGAAGTTGTTGCACAGTTCTTGTCTTCTGTGGTAGTTTCATGCTGATCCATTTCTCAATTATGTACTCAGGATTCTCTTCCTTGTTTTTGGAGGTGGTCAGGTGGGGCTGGAGCTTTGCCTATTGTTCATCAGAGTAGGTCTTCATTGGATCCAGATTCTGAGTCATGTGTCCCTCCCAGTGTTGGCCAATATTCTGCTCCTCAGCACCATTCTCACACTTTGCAATAAGACTGTGGTTTGCCCTTTTGACATCGTGTGGGAGAAGGGGGGGGGGGGGTTTACCTGGTTTGCCGACTCCTAGTCCCATATTTTGTTGCCTTTTGGGGTAATTTATCAAGGTCTTCAGTGAAGTTGGTCAGTCCTTCCCTGCCTACTGTGGGTCAGGGCTTTTGGAGTGGGTGGCTTCTAGCATGGTTCAGACAACCTCTTCTCTTTGTTGGGTTTTTCATCTCTTCCTGGTCCCAAATTAGGACTCGGTGATGTTCCACTTCATCCTCGATCTTTCGGTGTTGAACGCGTTCATCTTCCACCCAACTTTCTGCCTAATCACTCTGGCCTAAGTTTGCCTCGAGTTGGAGGATAGGGCTTGGATGATTATGTACCTCAAGGATGCTTACTGGCATGTCCCCATACATCCAGGATTCAGAGATTAGTTAGTTTTTGTCATAGGGTGCCAGGTTTCCCACTTCAGGGTCCTCCTAATCATTTTGAAGTTGACTCCCCATGTTTTCAACTGGTTGGTTTGAATCTTGGCAACCCATCTTCATTTCTTGGGGTTCATGTTCTGGCATACCTTAACGACTGGCTGATTTGGGCCCTCTGTCAGTTCACATGTCAACTAGTCAGGGATCTGGTTCTTTCCCAGCTCGCCAGGTTTGGTTCCTGGTAAACTGGTGAAAGTCCTGGCTGGTTTTGTCCCAGGTTCCAACTTGGCTGCGCCTCATATGGGACTCTCAGTCAGCATCACTTACCATTCCTCACTACCTTCTAGTGTTGAAGCAGCCCCGGGTGACTCGGCAGTTGCTTGACCGGCTGTGTGAGAGGCTAAATTTGGCCTCCATGGTTTTACCACTGGGCAGGCTTGGCTCTGGGGACTGTTTTGGGTCCTCCAATTCTGCTATTTTCATTGCTGCTGCAACTGTCGGGTTCAGGCCCCAATTGCCTTCCATCACCTGCTGCTTTGCATAGTTCTTCTTTGGGATTTTTTTGGGTTCAGTTCTTAGGTGCCATCATCTGCTGTCACTAAAGTGTGTTTATAGACACATTGGCTCAGAGCTGAGGTTTCACAACCAGCACTCAAATGACCATCCAAGGTCATTGATTGGGTGCGTTCCACCAGGTTCACGGTACAGTGTGCAGGTTTGTGGCCATCTGGCATGCCCTCTGGAGAATTCGGATTCTTCCACACTCAGTCCTCTGGCTTCATTTGGACCGCTCCCTAGAGCTTCCTTGCCTGAACCGAAGGGGAGAGGGGTTCCCTTTGACCCATGGTTCTTTGGAGCTGCACATTGTGAGTCGCTCATATACTGGATTCTCAGGGTTTGGTCCTCCATGCTGTTCATATCTGGAGAGTGTCCAGCATTCTCAGAGATGGTCTCTTTCACTTCCTGCCCATCTCCATGGAGTGGACTGTCAATGCTGCCTCCTTCCAGTGGCTTTGTGAGACATTGGGGTGCCCCTCATGTATCTTTGCCCTCATGGTGGATGTCATGGTGGATTTGCCCTCATGGTAGATGTCTTTAGCTGGACTAGTAGTAGTGGGGGCTTCTTTTCCTTCTTCCACCAGTCCAGCTGTTGCTCAGGTCCTAGTCAGATTGGAGTTCTACTAGGAGAAAGGTGGTCTTTCTGCTCCTTGGTGGTCAGCTCGGCTATGGTTTTAGCCTGAATGTCTTGCACGGTGTCTGAGCCTGGGCATTTTTCTGTGGTTCCACCTCTTTCAGAAGTTTGGTCTTGTAACCTATCTTCCTGGTTCAGACATTTCCTCGGCTCTTTGCATCTGGTTTTTCTAAAGAGTCTATCACCATCTCTATGGTGAGCATGTGGCTGAATTTATGGTGTCCCACTTGCATTTGTCTTCCAGGCAGCAGTATGGGTAGCTTGGCACTCTTTTCACCACTTCCTGTTACTTTGATGCCATTCTTCTGTCTCTGTTAGCACTGTTCTTTTATTTCTCTCTTAGTTGTTTCTCGACTGGCATCCTATGCCTAACATTGTTGCCTCTTATCATTAGGTGCCGGTTGAGCTGCAATAACTTGTGCTTCAGCATCAATTACTACCTCCGTGTTGGTTCAGAAGCTGTCACGCATGTTGTTTCATCTTTAGCCTCCTCATGTGTTACCTTAGCCCTACTGGTCTCTTAATCGTGTTCTCACCTTTCTTTCATCCCCTATAGTTAGTGATTCTTTCTTTAAAGCAGTTTTTCTGTTGGTGCTTGTCTCCAGATATGGAGTTGGGGAGCTGCATGCTCTTCTCCGGGGGGAGAAGTTTTTTGTTATTATGGCCAGAGTGAGTGTTCTGTTCATTTACAAACCATCTCCTTTTTCTGAAAATGTATTGGTGAGCTTCCGGAGGGGTCCTTTGGTTGTTGATGCTTAGTTACATCAGCCAAGCAACCATCATGTGTTGTGCCCAGTGACGGCTCCTCACTGCTACCTTCAAGCCACTGATTCTGCCTCATTGGGCACTTTTATGAGTTTTTCTACTTCCTTGGTTCTCTGTTCCAAGACTCATGTTTCTCAGGCCATCTACATTGTAAAGTCCAGCCAACCTGTAGTCTACCTTCAGTCCATGATGTTTGTAAGAATGCTGCTCTCACAATAGTCTTTGCCATGTCTTGGGCTAATATTTGGATGCAGGGGATTTTGGCAGCCCTTTATATGGTTAATATTTCCAGGCCTCGTCAGGTCTGTGTTGCATTGAGTTGTCTCTTTAAGCCAGTTGTCTTTTCTTTATTCTGATTACTTGCCGTCTCTCCTCCTCTCTAATAGGTTTCTTATGCTCCATCTCCATTGGTAATTAGCTGTAGGAATCCACAGAGGGCTTCCCCAGAAACCCAGTGTTGAATGTAATGAAACACCTCTTTCTGGAAGAGCTTCGGTGGCTCCCCGATTCCCTCCCTCCCTTACAGGTTCATCAATTGGTGTTTGTGGTGTTCACATCTAATAACATTTTGCCCGAAACGCATTGCGTAATAGTGGCTTTAGGCATTGTATGTACTAGCTCTATCTATATATCAATCCATTAATGTAACATCACTTGTATGTATATACCTTACCTGAATAAACATCTGAATCTGAATCTGAATCTGAATCTGCTCCAAACTTGGCTTGGCTGGGGAAGACTGGAGCTCTGGACAACCCCCTTTTATTGGTTGGGTGTTTAGTGCTAATGAGGTTATCTTGAGATGATTTTGGGGCTTTTTAGTGTCCCCGCGGCCCGGTCCTCAACCAGGCCTCCACCCCCAGGAAGCAGCCCGTGACAGCTGACTAACACCCAGGTACCTATTTTACTGCTAGGTAACAGGGGCATAGGGTGAAAGAAATTCAGCCCAATGTTTCTCGCCGGCGCCTGGGATTGAACCCAGGACCACAGGATCACAAGACCAGCGTGCTGTCCGCTCGGCCGACCGGCTCCCTCAACTAATGAGCTCACACTAGTTTCAAGAGATTTGTTCATTTGTTTACATTGTTTGGGGAATTTGTTTGGTAGTTTCAAGGCTTCAGTTGTTTTCAACCCAGCTGTAGTCTATGTTGATGCATTGACTTTCTGCATGGTTTCTCGGTGGGGCGGCAGTGTCACCTGCTCTGCCTCTGTGAAGGGGGGGGGGGGGAAGGGAAGGTTCTTGCTCTAATCTCTGGTAGGCTAAACAGAATTTCATGGATGGTGTGATCTAGTAGTTGGGAGCCATTTTCATATCCTTCCAACATTTGCGTGGTCATTGGGATGTTGTCTAAACTCTCTCGTACAAACACTGATGTAAAGTATTCATTCAGGGTGTTTGCTGCCCTTTTATCATCTATTATACCTTGGTTGGTTTCATCTTTTAAGGGGTCTTACTGAGTCTTTGGTTTTGGTTTTACTTATTATTATTACTACTACAGTATTATTATAATTATAATATTTATTATTATAATAACTTACCCAGTGGAAGTCTTAGTTAATTGCCTGAGCTTAGCATCTTCTTCCCAAGTGAGCTCAAAGAGTTGTGTTATATCTGGTCGCTGGAAGGACCGCCAGTGGTCCGTAATGTGGTCAGTTTGCGTGTAACTGTTGTTGGAGACATACCAACCAAATCTGGGGAGGTGGAGAGAAATGTTTCAATATAAAGTGCTGCAATATTACTACGTTGGTTGTGTGTTCTGTAATTTGTGATTAAGTTTTTTTTTATTTTATGCAAGTCTTCAAATATATAGAAAAAGCCTAAACAGCAAGTAAAACATAACTCCCTCGCATGGCACATCATAAAAAAAACCAGCGTTGAATGTAATGAAACGCCATTTTCTGGGTGAGACCCGGAGGCTCCCCGGAGCTTTACCGGCTGATATGCTAATGTCAGACTTTGGCATCAGTCATGTGTATGGAGTTCTAGGGCCTACCGGGGACCACGAGCCAGAACCTGGCCCCCTCAGAGAGGCAAGGGGAGCAATGGCCTATAGAAACCCCCGTGTGGTTGGAAGCATTCTATGTCTGCCATCGACCGGGTCAAGCATCCAGAAAGGTAAGCATTCCAAAACAAACCCCTATTCTGGTGAAAATTGCTACCTAAGCCGAACTAGTGGATAGAACTCTTCAACAGAAAACAAGGAAACTAGTATGACGTCATACGTCACCGCGCCGCTGTCTGCGCAGCTCCCCCCTCCCCAGGAGGGGGAAGGGGGAGCCCCAGACCTCCCACGCCGGCTATCCACCCATCAGTTCTGAGGCTGGATGTCAAAACACGCGAAAAACGCCGACCGGAGGGAGGGAGGGTTGCCGGGGAGCCTCCGGGTCTCACCCAGAAAATGGCGTTTCATTACATTCAACGCTGGTTTTCTGGGGGGAGCCCCGTCGGCTCCCCGGAGCTAACTACCCACAGAGGAAGGTCAAAGGGACAAAACCGGGAGGCGGACACCACGCACCCCCCAAGGAGGCGAGACAACTGGCAGCAAATGCCAACCCAAGGCGCCACAGCCCCGAAAATCCCAGGAACAACACGAGAACCACGAGCAGCAAGGCCCCTGCACGAACACCAAAAATCCATGCCCGAAAGACTGCAAGGTCACGTCGCCCAGATGGCAGCGAGAGCAGCGAAGCCACGAACGCCACAGGCATGAGGGAAGAACACAGGCAGCTGAGCCGCAAGAACACGGCTGACCACCCGGGACACCATCACCCGCGAACCGGGAAGAACAGAACCGGATCAACGCAAAACGCGCTCCGGACCCAAACGCCGTGGCACGCAAACAACAGCGGAGGGCCGCCACTGAACACAAACGACACCCCCGGCCCGACCAACGAAGCACCAACAAACCCTGGACCCCTCCAGAATGCAGCAGCCCCACCCCGCGCCAGAAAAGATGGAGACTGCTGCCATCAAACAACCAAAACGCTAAAACCGAAGGAGCAAGAAAACTCAGCGAACCGACCCCCAGAGGCAAAGGCCCAAAGGAAAGAGCCGACGAAAAAACACACCGGAACCGAAGGGGCACTACCAACCGAGGAGAAGACAGAGCACGCTAACCAGAGACCAGGATGGTGCAAGCGGCGCACGAACAGGCCGGAGGTGAAACGACGCACAAGACAGCTGACTAACGGTGCAGAAGCAACACCAAGACCGAAAGCAAGCTGAAGCGGCTCCGCCTGCGCCGCACTGAAAAGAGGCGACAGTATGTGGCAAGACGACGGCCCCCAACCCCCACTAGAAAACCAAGCCGAGAGGAAACCAAGCCAACAAGAGTAACCACCTAAGAAGGGACAGGAAAAGGAAGGACCGCCAAAATACCCCATACTGCCGCCAAGAGAAGCACGCAGGTGGGACACCTACCACGAAGCCACCCGACCACCAACCGGAGGCAAGACCACAAGGCAGAACAGAAGCAGCCCTGACAAGGCCCCCCCGAGCCCAGGAAAAAGGCGGAGCCGCGAGAAGATCTCGGGCGCGACCACCGAAACCCAGGCGGCACAAGGAGATGGAACGTCTGCCGAACAGAAAAACTCCCCCAAGCATGCAAGCCCGCCAGGAGTTCAGAAACGACGGGTCCGACGCGAGACATCGCAAGAACCCCCCCAAAAAAAAAAAAAAATAAAACAACAACAACCGGCAGGGCAGGAAAACCAAAGAAGGCGGAAGGGTCGCCGCCAGAACAGGACCCGAACCAAGGGGCACGAACAACTGCAATAGACCGAGACAAAGAAGCACATCACAGGACACAGGCTGACCAACGCCTAAGAATACACGCAGAACATCCCTGCTGCAGAGGAGACAGGAAGAAAGAGCAGAAGCACAAAAAAAACCCAGGAGAACAACCAGGGGTGGACAATCAGGCAGGGACAAAAACCGCACGCAATCCCCAGGCACAAAACGGCAGCAAAGTGCCACTCCACAACCGGACACAGGAACAAGGACACGCCACCGTGAAACACGGTACCAATGCACACGTGCAGCAGCAGCAGCAACTTGTAAATAGCAACTCCCCTCTGCAAAGGCAGAGAACGGAGCAGGCAGACCCCAGACAGGGCCAACGGAGACACGACAAAAACCTTGCAGGCCCAGAAACCTGCACCAGGCGACCGACGGCGGAGAAACCCCGCTCGATACCTGCAGGATGAGGTACTGGGAGCTCTTTTACACCTGAAGCCCGGTCCAAGGCTAGGCCAGACCGGCCAGAGGATGGCCCACCAGGCAGCTGCTAGGAGCAGTCCACCGGCCCACATACCCCCACAACCAGGACGGGCCGGAACTGCCATACAAAAACAGGCCAGTGCGCCCTGGAAGTTCACGGACGAACCAGCAAGAAGGCTTATGCTCGCAAGTAGGTCGTGTAACAAGCACAGACCACTGATGGTAATACAGTGTCCCCCAAAAGTGCCAATAGCACCACTGCACTCCACTGGTACTATCCCGCAAGTTCTACCAGATAGGCGGGACCCAAGAGCCAGAGCTCAAATCCTGCAAGCACAGCCAGGAGCCTCACCAGGTGAGTACAGAACCAACCCTACAACCCCCATACCTCACAACATTAAAAAGGGAGGGTCCCCTGAATGACTCCAGCATGGGTTGGACATGCACATGAGGGGGACAGGAAGGGGTGATAAGGGACAGTCACTGGTGTGCGAACGGTCTCAGTCGTACAAAATATACCTAAATAAAGACAGGTATAGAAACACCGCCGCATCCAGCGCCCGGCCAAAAGACGCCAGACTGCAGAAACTCACCTGGCGAATGGTGGCACGAACTTGACACGACTCAACCGTGCCCAGAAGAACTTGAGAGCACCGCCAGGTGAAGACGCCAGAGCCGGTCCCTGCCGGACCCGCAGGAGAACAGGGAGAGGCGAAGGAGGCGGTCCACACCCATGACACAGGGAAAACCGCGGTGTCCTCCCCACAACAGGGAACCAGGACACCCCCGGCGCGAAGGGGCACATACCGCAGCCAGGGAGAAGAACGAGAGGCGAAGCACTGTAGCAAAAAAAAGGGCGCAAAACCCCAGCACTGAAACACCGCCCAGACCAAAACAAACTCCACGGCGCATGCGCATAACACGCTGGCCGAACCGCACACCCTCCCTGCGGGAAGGCGCCAGCCAGGACTACTGCACGAGAAAAGGAGCCAAAAGAGGAAGCAGGAACAAGAAAACCGGCCAAAGAAGCAAAGAGCCCAAAAAGGAATCCAACCGGGCGACAAGTAGCCCAACCGGGCGACAAGTAGCCCAACCGGGCGACAAGTAGCCCAACCGGGCGACAAGTAGCCCAACCGGGCGACAAGTACGAGGAGCCGACAGACGTTCCAATAATGCGGGAAGTAGCGAAAAACCTTCCCGTACCCTCGAGAACACAGAAGCCAACACTAGTCCCGAAGGCACACGAAGGCGCAGGCGCACCCGAGATCAGAAGTCACGCAGAACCCCATCGAACGGGGAAACATGACAAAAACACCGTCCCAAAAAGGGGGGGAGAGGAAACATCCACCCACAGGACGGAACCAACCGACTCAAAGGCCAAGGAACCGAGCCCGGGGAGGGGCCGACGTCCAACAGCACGTACGGCGAGTGGGGAGGAAAGACCCCACTCCGCGTAACCACAAGCCCCGCCTAGAGGGGGATAAAAACCCCCACGGGGTCTAACGGGGCCAAGGCCCCCCCCAAGTCAGCCCCTCCCCAGCCCCGGGAACCTACACGACAGGCCCCGGGGCCGAGCCGTTCCCCCAAAGCCCCGGCCGTACCAGAAAACCGGGGCAGCCGTGAAAACACTAAGGAAGGGAGCCCACTGGCAGACTCATACAACACGGCTGGAGGAACAGGCCCAAATGCCCCCGTCACTACCCCGGAAGGGGAATTCCCCGAGACTGCCCGAGTCTCAACACCACCAAAAACCCCGCCCCGAACCTACAGACCGTAAGGAACCGGATGCAGGCAGGAAGGGTGAACCAGGGGAAAAGACAAGGGGGCGTGGATGGAACCGAAGCAACCAACACCCCCAAGTCCCAAAACGAACTACAACGGGACAGCCCCGGGGCTCCCGGGGAGGAAACCACGAGAACGTTGCCACCACCAAGGCTCAAGTGCAACGCCCCTGCTGCCCGCACCCGCTGTGTTAGCACAACTGGGTAACCGAGCCACAACGAGCAACCAAACTCGCAGGACTCCGGGTCGAAGGTGTCACCGACCCCACAGGCAGCAGACGGAGGCAAAACAGAGTCACCCAGAGACAAAAGGTGAGAGCAACCCTCAAACTCGCTGGAAGCGAGGGGGGGGCTCTGGGGTCACATCCATCGGACCCGCGCGCCCCCAGGGGTTTCCCAGGGTCCCGAGCGTTTACTTTAAGAGGACTCGCGCTCAGGTAGTCCCAGGCAGGGTACTGCTAACCGGCACCCAAAACTACCAAACAACTTTCTAAGAGCTGAACCCCCGGGACGTGTACACTCACGGGGACCTAGCAGGGGGCACCACCAGAAAATACTCAGAACACAAGGGACACAAGGGGCAAGAACGAAGGCAGACCCCCCCACCAGGTAGATAAACAAAAAGAAAAAGAAAACCCCGCAAGAGGACAGCGTACCCAAGCGGAACAGAGCCGGCCGCTATGATTGGTAAAGACAAGCTGCACAGTACCCCGCGCCCCACCAGTGCAAACACTGCCCCTTACTCTAAGGCGAACAAGGGAGACAGAACCCCCGAGCACACAAAGAGCGGCCGAAAACCAAGCAGTAAACGGCCAAGCAGGGGCAGGACCCAAGGAACTTGTGGAAGGTGGCCCCAAGCCCCAAGGGCAGTACTTACAGGGCACCTAGGGAAGGGAACCCTAGGCGCATGCAGCCCGAGTACTGAAGAATCACTCCCGGCTCACGCACCACCTAGAAAACAGACACCACACTCTAGGTACAGTGCTGAAACAACCACTGGAGCCGGAGCACATAACCATTGCCTATAGCATCAGCCGAAGAACTGATGGGTGGATAGCCGGCGTGGGAGGTCTGGGGCTCCCCCTTCCCCCTCCTGGGGAGGGGGGAGCTGCGCAGACAGCGGCGCGGTGACGTATGACGTCATACTAGTTTCCTTGTTTTCTGTTGAAGAGTTCTATCCACTAGTTCGGCTTAGGTAGCAATTTTCACCAGAATAGGGGTTTGTTTTGGAATGCTTACCTTTCTGGATGCTTGACCCGGTCGATGGCAGACATAGAATGCTTCCAACCACACGGGGGTTTCTATAGGCCATTGCTCCCCTTGCCTCTCTGAGGGGGCCAGGTTCTGGCTCGTGGTCCCCGGTAGGCCCTAGAACTCCATACACATGACTGATGCCAAAGTCTGACATTAGCATATCAGCCGGTAAAGCTCCGGGGAGCCGACGGGGCTCCCCCCAGAAAAAACATCTTTGAATATGTTTGATATTAAGTTAGATTTGTTAGATATACATAGTCTGTAGTGTATTCTATATAAAACACTGAACTGTAATGCTAATCTCGACCTTAAAGACTTCCTAAAGAGCCGTAATGGAACCCATAGGCATCTTAATACAAACAAATAATTACTGTCTTTGATATTTGAAAAGTGTGACTTAACCAGAACATAAATACTCTGCTAATCAGGGGTCCAAAAATGTGGAACACCTCCCCTAATCACATCAAAGACTGTCCTTCTCTCAACCAGTTTAAAAGAGAACTAAGAACTACATATTTGATAAACAATGTAACCTACATTACTTCCTAAATGTCAATCTATGTTTCGCTGTTATTGAACATTCTTTACTAAACCTGTACTACTACCATTACCAGTCGTGTAAAAAATTTAATACAAAATTGTATTCCTTCTGTTTATGCTGTAAAATTAATATGATAAATTGCCATTTTAATCATGTAATATTTGTCATTTTATTTGTATTTCTCTAATTCCATTCATTATTGTTTATCTCATTTAGTTTTAAGTACTTTAGTTTGAAATGTTCTGCATATTAGTGGCATTAGGGACTGTATTTGCCCTACCCATGAATCATACAGTCTAATGTATCCTATGTATATATATATGTACTTTTGCTTTAATAAAATTATTTTATTTACCTCTCCACTTACCCTTCATCTCCTCTCTTGCCTTATAATAATAATATGTTTATTCAGGTAAAAGTACTATACATACAATCAAGATGAGTTACAAACAGAATGTTGGATTTCTAGATAAAGCTGGTACATACTATGCCTAAAGCCCCTAATTAGAGCTGGTACATACTATGCCTAAAGCCACTAATTAGAGCTGGTACATACTATGCCTAAAGCCACTAATTAGAGCTGGTACATACTATGCCTAAAGCCACTAATTAGAGCTGGTACATACTATGCCTAAAGCCACTAATTAGAGCTGGTACATACTATGCCTAAAGCCACTAATTAGAGCTGGTACATACTATGCCTAAAGCCACTAATTAGAGCTGGTACATACTATGCCTAAAGCCCCTAATTAGAGCTGGTACATACTATGCCTAAAGCCCCTAATTAGAGCTGGTACATACTATGCCTAAAGCCACTAATTAGAGCTGGTACATACTATGCCTAAAGCCCCTAATTAGAGCTGGTACATACTATGCCTAAAGCCCCTAATTAGAGCTGGTACATATTATGCCTAAAGCCCCTAATTAGAGCTGGTACATACTATGCCTAAAGCCACTAATTAGAGCTGGTACATACTATGCCTAAAGCCCCTAATTAGAGCTGGTACATACTATGCCTAAAGCCCCTAATTAGAGCTGGTACATACTATGCCTAAAGCCACTAATTAGAGCTGGTACATACTATGCCTAAAGCCCCTAATTAGAGCTGGTACATATTATGCCTAAAGCCCCTAATTAGAGCTGGTACATACTATGCCTAAAGCCCCTAATTAGAGCTGGTACATATTATGCCTAAAGCCACTAATTAGAGCTGGTACATACTATGCCTAAAGCCCCTAATTAGAGCTGGTACATACTATGTCTAAAGCCCCTAATTAGAGCTGGTACATATTATGCCTAAAGCCCCTAATTAGAGCTGGTACATACTATGCCTAAAGCCCCTAATTAGAGCTGGTACATACTATGCCTAAAGCCCCTAATTAGAGCTGGTACATACTATGCCTAAAGCCACTAATTAGAGCTGGTACATACTATGCCTAAAGCCCCTAATTAGAGCTGGTACATATTATGCCTAAAGCCCCTAATTAGAGCTAGTACATATTATGCCTAAAGCCACTAATTAGAGCTAATATATACTGTGCCTAAAGCCATTAAGTAGAAGTAATACATACTATGCCTAAAGCCACTAATTAAAGCAAGTATATAATATGCCTAAAGCCACTAATTTGAGCTAGTATATACTATGCTAAAGCCTCTAATTAAAGCTATTATATACTATACCCTAAGCCACTAATTAAAGCTAGTACATACTATGCCTAAAACCAATAATTTGAGCTAGTATATATTATGCCTAAAGCCACTAATTAAAGCTAATATATACTGTGGCTAAAGCCTCTAATTAAAGCTAGTACATAGTACATCTAAAGCCTACTAATGTGCACAGCGTCTCTCAGCGTATATATTGAGTGTATTGACCCCCACTCTTGCTAGGTCATGTCTTGATAAGGGTCCAAGGCGGACCAAAATATTGTCACTTTCATTTGACGTGTATGGGTTTGGTGGCATATATTTATACTGTATATATATATATTACCTGCTGCCAGAGGAATGCGAGCCACAGTCACTCCTGGCTATTCTATCCTCCTCACGAGAGCTGGGTGGCTGCCACACCTCCAGGTTGATCATAGCAATGGGTATAGTGCCTCCATTACCATTCCTGAGAGTAAACAAAAGTTATATTTAACCATCATTGATCATATTAACAATAACAAACTACTGCTCAAAAATGAGCTTTGGGTAGGGAAAGCGCTAATCCAGCTAGCATAAATCAAAGGCTCAGATTGGGGACTTGTTTATTTTATAATAGTAAATAATAAATTGATAATAAATAATAAATGAATAATAATTTGCAAGCTAGTGTGTGAGCTAGACATTTTGTTCTATTTTACTTTTTGTATTTTTCCTGCAAGTTGGTGTAAGTAACTTGTGACAGGGCTCTCGTAATTTTACGATTTTTCCTGTAAAAGCTACAATTAAATTGCATTTGTAGGCTTACATGTATGCAAGAAAGATGACTTTTTTACAATAGTTTTCAGAAATCCAGTCCCCTCAGAAAACCCACCGCTTTTTTGGGAAAAGCAGTGTTCTTTTTTTTTTCTAATCATATACACTGCCCCACGGGACCAAAGAGCCAGAGCTCAACCCCCGCAAGCACAACTAGGTGAGTTTGGGAGCAGCTGAAGTGCAGTTGTCCTGACAATGGGAGATGGCTTATATTTTGAGTGCAACCTCTCCTTTTACAAATTACGCCTGAATATGGCTATTTTCCCGTATGGCCGAAAATGGACAATTTGAAAATGAAAAATAACTGAAAATAAATTTTGGAATTTTTTTTCCAAAACAGCAAGTTAAGGGTCCTCTGGTCCCTTAACAGGCCCCTTGCAGAAAGGCAAGAAGTTCTTCTAAGGTTTCAAAACATCATGAAAACCGTTAATTGAAAGTTTCCTCTTCTAACCTAACCAAGTAAGCCGGAGGACTCGAACAGAAAACGGGACATTACATCACTTTTGTGAGCAGATTTAATTTCAAATTACAGTATGTCCATTTTTGGCTATAGCGTGCATACGAGTGAAAAGCGACTTAGTTTTAAGAGAACGGGTTATATCTACCGCTGCCCACTGGATAGGGGAGGGGGGGGGACAGTATGAAGGACAAACATATCAATTATGACTCTAGCTCTCCACATGTCAGTTGCTTAACTTAGAAACTGTACTTGTGGTCGATCTCGAACACATTTATGATGTGACGACTTATACTGAATTTTATAACTAGCTCATCAAGATTATAACTTGCTTAGCTAAATGAATTGTGGGGTTCAGTCCCTGAGGCCATTATGTGCCTCTGTAACCCTTCCCACTACCGCCCACAAGATGGGTATGGGGTGCATAATAAATGAACTAAACTAACTCTACCCTCCCCTTAATCTCACTCACACACTTCTGACATGGATGACAAATTGTCTGACAGAAAAACGAGGGCAATATATCAGACTGGAGGAGAGTTACCAGTGGAGTACCACAGGGTTCAGTCCTAGCACCATATTTATTTATTTATATATATATACAAGAAGGTACCTTGGGATTGTGAGGATAAATAGCATAGTAATTACATTCTTGTAAAGCCACTAGTACACGCAGCATTTCGGGCAGATGTTCATTGATGTACAAGGGGCCTCGTAGCCTGGTGGATAGCGCGCAGGACTCGTAATTCTGTGGCGCGGGTTCGATTCCCGCACGAGGCAGAAACAAATGGGCAAAGTTTCTTTCACCCTGAATGCCCCTGTTACCTAGCAGTAAATAGGTACCTGGGAGTTAGTCAGCTGTCACGGGCTGCTTCCTGGGGGTGGAGGCCTGGTCGAGGACCGGGCCGCGGGGACACTAAAGCCCCGAAATAATCTCAAGATAACCTCAAGATATAATGTTCATTGTCTATATATAAATGATCTACCAGAAGGAGGAGTACAGAATTAAATGAATATGTTTGCTGATGCTGCCAAGCTACTAGGAAAGATAAGAAACTTAGATGATGGTCATGCCCTTCAAGAAGACCTGGACAAAATAAGTGTATAGAGCAATATTTGGCAAATGGAATTTAATGTGAATAAATGCCATGTTATGGAATAGGAGAAAATAGGCCACACACAACCTACAAATTACAGGTATGTGAAAAAGCTTTAAACAATTCTGATAGAGATCTAAGGGTGGTTCTGGATAAAAACTGTCACCTGTGGATCATATAAATAACATTGTGCGGGGAGTTTATGTCAAGCTTTCCAACTTCAGAATCTCTTTTTAAATATATGGATTGCAAAATATTAAAGAAATTATTTATGACCTTTGTAAGACCATAGTTGGAATATGCAGCAGTTGTATGGAGCCCATATCTCGAGAAGCACATCAATAAACTGGAAAAGGTGCAACGGCATGCTACAAAATGGCTTCTAGAACTAAAAAACAAGAGGTATGAAGAGAGGTTAGAGGCATTAAATATGACAAAACTAGAAGATAGAATGGTGACCAAACGACACATCAGAAGATAGAGAAACGTCGTCGCCTCCTCATCTTCTGTTGTGGTTTGGTTATCATATCTTCAGCCCCGTTATTGTGACTCATCGTCTGCATATATAAGATAGAAGAAAAAAGGGAGTGATATGGTCACTTACAAAATAACTGCAGGAATTTTACCAAATAGACAAAGAGGAATTCCTGAAACCAGCAGCTTCAAGAACAAGAAGACACAGATTCAAGCTATGGAAACAAATGTGCTGAATAAATATTAAAAAGTTTTATTTTGCAATCAGACTGGAAGACGGATCAAGTTAAATGAGACGGTGGTGGAGGCCGAAACCGTCAGTAGTTTCAAAGCATCATATACGACAAAGAGTACTGGGAAGACGGGACACCACAAGCGAAGCTCTCATCCTGTGACTACACTTAGGTAATTAACTACACACACACACATAAATTAACAATCCTGTAATCCGACATCTAATATGTAGTGTAATCAGTTCCAGAAATAATCAGCGATATTTCCAACCCAACACCAATAACATGTATGTGAATTTAACCACCAAAATATTCCAAACCTCGAACCTCAGCCATAATATATATAGACTTGAGAAAATGACATACCTGCTAGTTGCATTAAGTCGCTCTAGTGCTTTTGTAAGGTTAAAACTGTCTTCTTCATAATGTGAGATGGATACATTCTGATAGCCCAAGCCTTCCTGTAAATATAGAGTCAAACTTTAAACATAATCAGAGGCTGGAAAGCTGTATGTAAAAGGCTACAGTACTGTAATAAATAAAATAAAATAAATTGTTATTCAGGTAAGGTACATACATACAAGGTAAGATACAAAGTTGATGGAGTTATAGATAGAGCTAGTACATACAATGCCTAAAGCCACTATTACGCAAAGCGTTTCGGGCAGATAATATAAAGAGTAAAGAATATATGTAAATATAAAGAGAGCAACACTGAATACTTAGATTCAATAAGACTTCATCGTTGTGTTTTCTTGGATTAGCCCCTTGTGGCTCCCAATTATTAGGTCAATTTGCTCAATTTGCTCATATAGGTCATATGAGCCGTGATATTCTTCGGCCTACCTTAGGCCTACCGGGAACCAGAGGCTGTTGTTTGAGATTCCCTACTTGGAACAAAAAGTTCCAAGTAGCACGGGCCATGGTGAGCCCATAATGGACTTACCTGGCACAGGAGAGGGGCTGGACCAGAGGCAGAACTAGCTGACTCCTCTTAAAGAGGTGCAGGGAGATGAGGTGCAGACTGGATGGGTAAACTGGTGGCTCACTTGCTTAATCTTTACAGCATACTGAGGTCTGATTTTACAGCCATGTAACCCAGGCTGTAGTGGGTGGCTTTAGGTCCCCTGTAACACCCCGGTGCTTGGGTGTCCTGCCTGGTGCAGCCGTCGGCTCCCGCCACTCCCCCGCGGGTCTGGCGCGGCCAGAGCATATATCACCTTCGAACTCGCTCTTTTGCCAGGGGAGAGTTCGAGACCCGTTTGTCGTTCCTGCCTCGCGGGGCAACACTCTTTTGTTCTGCTTCTGCCATGGTCGGTGACACCTACAACCTGAATTGACCTGATTTTACCTGAGAGCTACTAACACTAGTGGCCTCGACGAGGACAGGAAGCCGCCGGGTTATCGAAGGTCCCCCCAATTTGCCTTTGACAGGGGGGACTCTCCTATCTCACTCAACTCAGAGTCTTATTTTGAATTTGAATTTTGAATTTTGAATTTGAATTTTGCGGGGTTATGCTTCCCATGTGAGACATTGAGCAGGCCCTCCAGATGTGGTCAGTGTGCACTAATGTAGACTTCTTCAACTTAATATTCAGCATTACAAGCTAAGCTGCTGGTATAATACATTCAACGACATTAGCTAAAAACAAAATACATTAGCTTCATATATACAATACAATTTCAATCAATTATGACCTAATTTATGCGAAAACATGATGACTTTTAAATACATATTAACTGCAGGTCTTTAATAATATAAGTTAACAATCACGAGACAAATATAAATAGACCAAACTCAAATTATAAACATAAATCAGTCATAAAGTAGACACGTTAACAGGTGGCAGCGGTGCCAGCCATGACTGGTGATGGGGAGTGTCATCATGACACATGATGACACATGACACATGACACACATCATGAAGGCCCACTGGCGCCAGCAACTACCATAACTCACCGTACCATCACTCTTCAACACACTCATCACCTCCGGGAACTCATTGAAGACCCTTTATGTCAATATCCGGCCAATGGTCTTTAAAATCAATGTGATGAATATTATTGGGACCACCTGTCCTCTCATTTTTACACGTAGCATATTTTTAAACAGAATCGACAAATACGTTACAAATACGACGTATTAATACAAATTAAAGCACCATAATATTGACGCTTTCTACGCACCAGACTCTATAGATCAGCTGTGTGCTGATTGGTTAGACTAAACAGTTGCATATTGTACGGAGTGGACACTTGAGGGATCCGGGAAGGGGGGGAGAGATACAAGGGGGTTGAGTACTAACCTCTAGGAGGATCTTGACAACCGCAGTGGTCAGCTGGTGAGAGAGTCTCTGGGAGGTGTCAAGGGTGAGTGCCAGTTGCCGCTGCTCCCGTTTGTCATACACGTATCTTGGCGGTGGCACTGGAACACACACAGGCACACATTAGTGATTGACAGTTGAGAGGCGGGACCAAAGAGCCAGAGCTCAACCCCCGCAAGCACAACTAGATAAACACACACACACACACATCTACTTGTGATATTATGAGAACACAAGATTAAATTCACTGCAGGTGGTGTCTTGGCCCCTGTGAGGAAGCTTCTATGTATTATATGCACTCATTATAATATGTATCTTAAGCCAGTAATCTCGTGTCTACCCAGTAATTTATATATATATATATATATATATATATATATATATATATATATATATATATATATATATATATATATATATATATATATATATATATATATATATATATATATATATATATGTCGTACCTAATAGCCAGAACGCACTTCTCTGCCTACTATGCAGGGCCCGATTTGCCTAATCGGGCCCTGCATATATATATATTTGCCTATATATATATATATATATATATATATATATATATATATATATATATATGTCGTACCTAATAGCCAGAACGCACTTCTCTGCCTACTATGCAGGGCCCGATTTGCCTAATAAGCCAAGTTTTCCTGAATTAATATATTTTCTCTAATTTTTTTCTTATGAAATGATAAAGCTACCCATTTCATTACGTATGAGGTCAACTTTTTTTTATTGGAGTTAAAATTAACGTAGATATATGACCAAACCTAACCAACCCTACCTAACCTAACCTAACCTATCTTTATAGGTTAGGTTAGGTTAGGTAGCCGAAAAAGTTAGGTTAGGTTAGGTAGGTTAGGTAGTCGAAAAACAATTAATTCATGAAAAGTTGGCTTATTAGGCAAATTGGGCCTTGCATAGTAGGCTGAGAAGTGCGTTCTGGCTACTAGGTACGACATATATATATATATATATATATATATATATATATATATATATATATATATATATATATATATATATATATATATATATGTCGTACCTAGTAGCCAGAACGCACTTCTCAGCCTACTATGCAAGGCCCGATTTGCCTAATAAGCCAAGTTTTCCTGAATAATTATATTTTCTCTAATTTTTTTCTTATGAAATGATAAAGCAACCCTTTTCTCTATGTATGAGGTCAATTTTGTTTTATTGGAGTTAAAATTAACGTAGATATATGACCGAACCTAACCAACCCTACCTAACCTAACCTAACCTATCTTTATAGGTTAGGTTAGGTTAGGTAGCCGAAAATGTTAGGTTAGGTTAGGTTAGGTAGGTTAGGTAGACGAAAAACAATTAATTCATGAAAACTTGGCTTATTAGGCAAATCGGGCCTTGAATAGTAGGCATAAAAGTGAGTTCTGGCTACTAGGTACGACATATATATATATATATATATATATATATATATATATATATATATATATATATATATATATATATATATATATATATATATATATATATATGTCGTACCTAGTAGCCAGAACGCACTTCTCAGCCTAATATGCAAGGCTCGATTTGCCTAATAAGCCAAGTTTTCATGAATTATTTATTTTTCGACTACCTAACCTACCTAACCTAACTTAACCTAACATTTTCGGCTACCTAACCTAACCTAACCTATAAAGATAGGTTAGGTTAGGTTAGGTAGGGTTGGTTAGGTTCGGTCATATATCTATGTTAATTTTAACTCCAATAAAAAAAATTGACCTCTTACATAATGAAATGGGTAGCTTTATCATTTCATAAGAAAAAAAATAGAGAAAATATATTAATTCATGAAAACTTGGCTTATTAGGCAAATCGGGCCTTGCATAGTAGGCTGAGAAGTGCGTTCTGGCTACTAGGTACGACATATATATATATATATATATATATATATATATATATATATATATATATATATATATATATATATATATATATATATATATATATATATGTCGTACCTAGTAGCCAGAACGCACTTCTGAGCCTACTATGCAAGGCCCGATTTGCCTAATAAGTCAAGTTTTCATGAATTAATTGTTTTTCGACTACCTAACCTACCTAACCTAACCTAACCTAACTTTTTCGGCTACTTAACCGAACCTAACCTATAAAGATAGGTTAGGTTAGGTAGGGTTGGTTAGGTTCGGTCATATATCTAAGTTAATTTTAACTCCATTAAAAACACATTGACCTCATACATAATGAAATGGGTAGCTTTATCATTTCATAAGAAAAAAATTGGAGAAAAGATATTAATTCAGGAAAACTTGGCTTATTAGGCAAATCGGGCCTTGCATAGTAGGCTGAGAAGTGCGTTCTGGCTACTAGGTACGACATATATATATATATATATATATATATATATATATATATATATATATATATATATATATATGACGACGTGTATTGAATTTTGTATCTAGCTTAGCTAAATGAATTGTAGGGTTCAGTCCCTGAGCCCATCTTATCTTGAGATGATTTCGGGGCTTTAGTGTCCCCGCGGCCCGGTCCTCGACCAGGCCTCTACCCCCAGGAAGCAGCGCGTGACAGCTGACTAACACCCAGGTACCTATTTTACTGCTAGGTAACAGGGGCATAGGGTGAAAGAAACTCTGCCCATTGTTTCTCGCCGGCGCCTGGGATCGAACCCTGAACCACAGGATCACAAGTCCAGCGTGCTGTCCGCTCGGCCCCCATTATGTTCCTCTGTAACTACCGTCCACGAGATGGGTATGGGTTGCATAATAAATGAACCAAACTAAAGTAATTCCTGGGACTAACTTTGTCATCATTCTCTGCACACATTCAAGTGAATTTGTTCTTTAGTATGGAGACCAAAACTGAACTGAAACGTGTGGTTTTCAAAATCCAATACTGGTTGTTTCTTATTTCCAGCAGATCTAAGACAATCAGCGTCTGCTGATTGTCTTAGAGATCTAAGACGTTATTGTTATAAACTAGCCCCTTCGTGAATCTAGCCCCAGTCCAAAAATGGACTGGGGCTAGATTCACGAAGCAGTTACGCAAGCACTTACGAACCTGCTCATCTTTTCTCAATCTTTGGCGGCTTTGTTTACAATTATTAAACAGTTAATGAGCTCCGAAGCACCAGGAGGCTGTTTATAACAAAAACAACAGTTGATTGGCAAGTTTTCATGCTTGTAAACTGTTTAATAAATGTAACCAAAGCCGTCAAAGATTGAGGAAAGATGTACACGTTCGTAAGTGCTTGCTTAACTGCTTCGTGAATCTGGCCCCCTGGTCGGGGACCGGGCCGCGGGGACGCTAAGCCCCGGAACCATCGCAAGGTAAGGAAACTACTACTTAACAAGTCTCTAGCTCGAACTTAACTCCATTAATGCTAACTCCCAGCTTGAAAATAACCAGGCCTTAATACACCTTAGGATAAGCCCTACAATACCTTGTGCCTTAACATTGTAATGAGTCCTTATGAGATACAATATCAAAGGCCTTATCAAGATAAAGACTGTTACAATCGTCTCAAGATATTTCAATGACGTCTGGCAGAACCAAACCATAAGGCCTCCTTAAACAATAAAGCAAGAACGGGAGAAAGTGAGAGAATCCCAGACGCTGCAAAAATATTTTAAGATATAATGTTACTCACATGTAAGATTTCTTTCTTCCAGCTTGATGCATTTGTGGGAGTGGACATGACAGGGAGAAGACGCCCACACGAGGAGAAACACCGCCCACCACAGCAGGCGGTGGGCGGGGTGGCAGGCCGTGGGCGTGGTGTGGGTGGTGGCACTCGCGCCTCTGGGGACGATCGGGGAGGTGGCGGCACTGGCAGCAGGTCCATGGGGCTTCTTTGGGGAGTAGGGAATGGCTGCAGTTTCCCCGGGGTTGGCTTGGGAGGGGGAAGAAGAGGTGGCGATTGGGGTTCCTCTGGGGACGATTGGGGAGGTGGCGGCACTGGCAGCAGGTCCATGGGGCTTCTTTGGGGAGTAGGGAATACCTGCAGTTTCCCCGGGGTTGGTTTGGGAGGGGGAAGAAGAGGTGGCGATTGGGGTTCCTCTGGGGTTGGACGGGGAGCAGGGGGCCCGGGAAGCAGGGGTTGGGATCCCCTGGGGGATAGTGGAGGCGGTGGCAGGGTGCCCCCGGGTGAGGGAGAGTGTAGGGGTCCAGGTGACAGTAGTGGAGGCGGTGGCAGGGTGCCCCCGGGTGAGGGAGAGTGTAGGGGTCCAGGTGACAGTAGCTCCCGCCATCACTACCTGCCCGCCCGGCTCACACCTCTGCAACAAGACAAGTCATCATGTTAACTCATTGTTTACCTTCCATTATAACCTCACACATAATAATGTGTAACAATATTTATATATGAACCAGGGGCCAGATTCACGAAGCAGCTACGAACCTGCTCATCTTTGCTCACTCTTTGGCGGCTTTGTTTACAATTATTAAACAGTTAATGAGCTCCGAAGCACCAGGAGGCTGTTTATAACAATAACAACAGTTGATTGACAAGTTTTCATGCTTGTAAACTGTTTAATAAATGTAACCAAAGCCGTCAAAGATTGAGGAAAGATGTACACGTTCGTAAGTGCTTGCGTAACTGCTTCGTGAATCTGGCCCGAGGACAGAACGGGAGCACTACACCAAGGGACACAGCACGGGCTCTCTCATGGTATGACGCCGCTGCTGGAGTGTGGAGTAGCGATTTCAACGCCATCTATGGACCTGTACTCCAACTCCCAGGTATTAGATGCAACGCAGACAACGCCATCTGTTGGCGGTTGTGCGGCGTCAGTGAAAGGCTCCTGTTTCATATCTCAGTTAGGAAGTGAGGTCGATGATGATGACCCAACCCGTCCTCTTAAAAATAACGTCACTTTTGGCTGGTATGCGCGGCACTATGGCCAAATTTCGACGTAATTTGAAATGAAATTGACTCACAAAAGTGACGTACTGTCCTGTTTTCTGTTTGAGTCGTCCGGCTTACTCGGTAAGGTTAGAAGAGGACACTTTCAATTAAAGTTTTTCATAACGTTCTGAAAATTTACGAGAATTTCCTGCCCACCTAACCTATCAGAGGACCCTTAACTTACTGTTGTTGAAAAAAAAATCCCAAATTTATTTTCATTTTCAAATTACGTCCACTTTCGGCCATACGGACAAACGGCCAAAAGCGACGTTATTTTTAAGAGGACAGGTTGGATGACCTCCAACCATCTTCTCTTTCTCTCTCTGGTGGGTGGCGTAACGATATCAACGCCGCCTAGGTTGTGAAAGCAATTACAATTTCAATTCCCCGATGGAAGGGTGTTCAAGTATGTTTATTGAGATAAGCAATAAATACATCTCAAAGGGATAGAGTAGCTTAGGCTATTTCTACCCCCCAGGAAGGGTGTTATCCTAAGGTCACCCAGCATACTGTGTCTAGCTAATGACATTTTATGTTCACAGAGGTGACGAAAGGAGGCGATTGGGCTAAGGAAAGCAGTTCACCTTGGGCAGTCCAGAACTCTTGACTTGGTCCTGTGAGAGGACAACGTGGCCGCCGTCGGTGGTAGCAGTGTTGTACGGACCGACGTACCCGGGATTTGGCCAAGAAGAGTTTCAAGAGGACAGTAGTGCGTCTGTTGAGAAGTGCTGCTAGTGACTTATGCCAGGGTGTTAGCTACCCCTGTACGTGATTATTTGAGACCCCTGTCAGCGTGTTGCTGACACCCTCTGCCAGTGTGTTTCTGGAGAGCAGATGTGGGGGTATTGGCACATATTGACGTGTGTGGACTGGCCCACGATGAAGGTGAACTCGCCGGTGACTACCATTGAGTGTGGACGACGTGTATCTGAACATAATGGATTTGCCGGGATTTGATGAACACTGCTGAGCTATAGTGTCCTGAGTGAAAGTGAATAAGTGTAAATGAGTAGTAATACTTGGAGAAATAATAATAAATTGGTGAAGATGTAATTGCATATTGTTTATCCCCCCTTTATTTTTTACACTACTACTTGCCACAGCCAGTTCTTGAAAACTTACCATCGACTTGAGGTAGGATGAAGAAGTTGTTATAAGACACGTTAACAAGAAAGAACCCGTTTACTGGCCCCAGCTGGCCGTGACAGGCTCCCACAACTAATATTCCTTAACACACTCACTTTAATAAGTGTCTTAATTAAATAATAACTCCTCATTATAACTCTTCATAAAAGCTCAGCTCAGCGGGTTTATATTTTTAGCTAATGTCCTAAACATGCTCACCCCCCCCCCCCCCCAGACCCTTCCTGCACCCTCCCAGCACCCCCACTACACCCTAGCACCCTAGTACACCCTCCCAGCACCTCCCAGCACCCTCCCAGCACCTCCCAGCACCCTCCCAGCACCCCCACTACACCCTAGCACCCTAGTACACCCTCCCAGCACCTCCCAGCACCCTCCCAGCACCCTCCCAGCACCTCCCAGCACCCTCCCAGCAACCACCCATTCCAGGAAAACCATTTAAATAAATTATATTACTTGTTATCAAGAGTAAACAAAATGCAGTAATTATAGAGAGTAGTCGGTTATAATGACATGCGTGAGTTATCTATCTCTTACTCTCTTCTCTCTCTCTCTCTCTCTCTCTCTCTCTGTCTCTCTCTCTCTCTCTGTCTCTCTCTCTCTCTGTCTCTCTCTCTCTCTCTGTCTCTCTCTCTCTCTTACTCTCTCTCTCTCTCTGTCTCTCTCTCTCTCTCTGTCTCTCTCTCTCTGTCTCTCTCTCTCTCTCTTACTCTCTCCCTCCCTCCCTCCCTCTCCCTAACGATGCAATATAAACATAGACGAAAACTGTCAATTAAGGCAGCTTCCTCACTATAAACAAACTAGCTAATTGCAATATTCGACGCGCCCAATATTCGACGCGCCCAATATAAAATGACAAATTTGAAACCATATTCGAGCGAATACTTTAATATTCCCCTTTACTTTCCTATCTAATAAAACAACGTTATTATTCACTAATAAAAAGAGTGAACAAGATATCAAATCTTAAAAAAAGGAAAAACGTAAATGGATTAAATTGAATAAAATGTTTGTGAAAAAAGCTACAGTTGAAAACATTCCTGTGACTGAGAACGGCGGAAAAATATGCTATCACTGACGGAGTTTTTTGTTCGTAGTGCTCAAAGTCATATATATATTATATGTGTTATTAACTGCTCACAAAATGTATTTTAGGAGCATATAACTTCCGAGTTTTCAGTGCTACAGCCCCTGGTTCAGTGCTACAGCTGACTACAGCCCCTGGTTCAGTGCTACAGCTGACTACAGCCCCTGGTTCAGTGCTACAGCTGACTACAGCCCCTGGTTCAGTGCTACAGCTGACTACAGCCCCTGGTTCAGTGCTACAGCTGACTACAGCCCCTGGTTCAGTGCTACAGCTGACTACAGCCCCTGGTTCAGTGCTACAGCTGACTACAGCCCCTGGTTCAGTGCTACAGCTGACTACAGTCTCTGGTTCAGTGCTACAGCTGACTACAGCCCCTGGTTCAGTGCTACAGCTGACTACAGCCCCTGGTTCAGTGCTACAGCTGACTACAGTCTCTGGTTCAGTGCTACAGCTGACTACAGCCTCTGGTTCAGTGCTACAGCTGACTACAGCCCCTGGTACAGTGCTACAGCTGACTACAGTCTCTGGTTCAGTGCTACAGCTGACTACAGTCTCTGGTTCAGTGCTACAGCTGACTACAGTCTCTGGTTCAGTGCTACAGCTGACTACAGCCTCTGGTTCAGTGCTACAGCTGACTACAGTCCCTGGTTCAGTGCTACAGCTGACTACAGCCTCTGGTTCAGTGCTACAGCTGACTACAGCCTCTGGTTCAGTGCTACAGCTGACTACAGTCTCTGGTTCAGTGCTACAGCTGACTACAGTCTCTGGTTCAGTGCTACAGCTGACTACAGTCTCTGGTTCAGTGCTACAGCTGACTACAGCCTCTGGTTCAGTGCTACAGCTGACTACAGCCCCTGGTTCAGTGCTACAGCTGACTACAGCCTCTGGTTCAGTGCTACAGCTGACTACAGTCTCTGGTTCAGTGCTACAGTCTCTGGTTCAGTGCTACAGCTGACTACAGTCTCTGGTTCAGTGCTACAGCTGACTACAGTCTCTGGTTCAGTGCTACAGTCTCTGGTTCAGTGCTACAGTTGACTACAGTCCCTGGTACAGTGCTACAGCTGACTACAGTCTCTGGTTCAGTGCTACAGCTGACTACAGCCCCTGGTTCAGTGCTACAGCTGACTACAGTCCCTGGTTCAGTGCTACAGCTGACTACAGCCCCTGGTTCAGTGCTACAGCTGACTACAGCCTCTGGTTCAGTGCTACAGCTGACTACAGCCCCTGGTTCAGTGCTACAGCTGACTACAGCCCCTGGTTCAGTGCTACAGCTGACTACAGTCTCTGGTTCAGTGCTACAGCTGACTACAGTCTCTGGTTCAGTGCTACAGCTGACTACAGCCTCTGGTTCAGTGCTACAGCTGACTACAGCCCCTGGTACAGTGCTACAGCTGACTACAGTCTCTGGTTCAGTGCTACAGCTGACTACAGTCTCTGGTTCAGTGCTACAGCTGACTACAGTCTCTGGTTCAGTGCTACAGCTGACTACAGCCTCTGGTTCAGTGCTACAGCTGACTACAGTCCCTGGTTCAGTGCTACAGCTGACTACAGCCTCTGGTTCAGTGCTACAGCTGACTACAGCCTCTGGTTCAGTGCTACAGCTGACTACAGTCTCTGGTTCAGTGCTACAGCTGACTACAGTCTCTGGTTCAGTGCTACAGCTGACTACAGTCTCTGGTTCAGTGCTACAGCTGACTACAGTCTCTGGTTCAGTGCTACAGCTGACTACAGTCCCTGGTTCAGTGCTACAGCTGACTACAGCCCCTGGTTCAGTGCTACAGCTGACTACAGCCTCTGGTTCAGTGCTACAGCTGACTACAGCCCCTGGTTCAGTGCTACAGCTGACTACAGCCCCTGGTTCAGTGCTACAGCTGACTACAGTCTCTGGTTCAGTGCTACAGCTGACTACAGTCTCTGGTTCAGTGCTACAGCTGACTACAGCCTCTGGTTCAGTGCTACAGCTGACTACAGCCTCTGGTTCAGTGCTACAGCTGACTACAGCCTCTGGTTCAGTGCTACAGCTGACTACAGTCTCTGGTTCAGTGCTACAGCTGACTACAGTCTCTGGTTCAGTGCTACAGCTGACTACAGTCTCTGGTTCAGTGCTACAGCTGACTACAGCCTCTGGTTCAGTGCTACAG